TGGTGACATCCCGGGCACAACACCGTGTCAGTGTCAGTTGCAGTGCCGATCCACGGTGCTAGATCAGAGTGTCAGAGGTATAGTGACACCCAGGGCACGACACTGTGTCAGCGTCAGTGTCAGCGCATATACAACACAGTATCATGACACCGTCGGGTCAGGAGCCAGCGTCTGGTGTTAGCGTCGGCTAGACATGGTGTCAGTGACGCGACAGTGTCACTACAGTGTGTCAGCGCTGACATGACACCGTGTCCGTGTCAAAACACCGCGTCACCGTCAGTGTCAGCGCCGACAGCACCTTTTCATCCGTCACTCATCGCCAGGGCATAAAGCCGCCTTCAACAGCTCAAACCGCTCAGTGTTGAGGTAATGCAAACAGAGTGGTGGGGCTATTTTCCGCCCGGCTGAGTTTATACCATGGTAAACCGTTCCAGCCGAGATTAGCGTGAGGTGCCCCACGCAGGGAAAAGACCATCCAGCTGCTTGGGCTTCGAAGCAGCATGTCATGTAAATGGCGTTAAATTTGATGCTGAAACTGAGATGCAAAATTTATTAAAGAAGACACATTGGTCTCGAGACATTTCGGATGGGCCTCGTATCTCATGATGTCAGCCAATTACATTGTGAATGGCACCACATTCGATTCGGAAAGCGCAATTCCAACCCATAAGTCACGCAACAATGACCTGACTATCAACTGTGCGCCACAGCATTTAATCCCAAATTCGCCGTCTTTCGAAAGAGTGACCTGTGAACTATACATAGCTATCACATGTCACTATAAATCCACCATCGCGTCGCACAGACGCAGTCTACCAGTCAGCCGAGCCGGCATATGATGAATGTCCCCAACCCGACTCTGCTGACCCCTGAACGGCAGACCACCAGCGCTTTACAGAATCATTGCGAGACGCGTCGCTCAATTATAAATCGCAGACGCACGGATAATTATCCTTCTACCAGCGCGCTGATATCCCAACTGAGCGCCGCCTCAGCGCGCTTTCCATTCGTATTCTAGCCGGAGCAATTAGGCGGCGCTCATTATTTGATCCATCCCGAGTGGGGCCGCGGGTGATTCCCGCTGCAGCACCGCTTATCATCATGCAAATTTCCACCGGCGCAGCGCGGGCGCGCAGTACGGGACAGGGATTCTGGGTGGTCGGGATGCAGCCGTGCCATTCGACAGAAACCACGCCTCTCGAAGCGAGCGTGCTGTGTGTGAACGAGGGAATTATGCTGAAAAGACTCAAATGAGCATCAGCACTCGACAGGCTTTGTTTAACAATGGCGTCATAGAGGCTCGTGGATCTGAGAACAGCACAAGACCGCAAGTCATGGCACCAACTATTAGCTAGCCTCAGTGTATTCCCCAGCGATGTGACATTCCCGGATCGTGACCCGAAAGACCATGACCCTCAGCACCTAACCGGTCTGTTCAGAGCACCTCACGGCGACCTGGAGTCACCTAGCGGCCAGATAACCAACTACCCCACCCGAGGTAGGGGACAGAGGCAGCGGCGGAGGCGGCGGCGGCGACAGACAAGCCACCGCTGTCGCTCTTCCAGCACCAAATACGGCCCGCCGAATGTGTTCCGAAGCGGCAAGAAGCGCGCTGGTCGACCGACGAACCCTGCCGGGCCCGTTTCCGTCAGCGTTGCCGTATAAGTCAGCAGGGCCAGCCGGCCAGCCGGGGTGCGAGGCGGACACAGCTGGGCCGCGCCTGGTGCCGGACCCGGTCCAACAGGACATAACAGACCGGCCTCACCACAGCACCGGGAACCACCGGCGGCAGCCGACTGCCGGAAAGCCGCGGTCCACACTGACAGCACATCAGGCAACGAGTTCACTGGCATTGGTGCCGCTGGCCATGGTGACATCGCTACAAATGCGGCGAAATAAGCGTAATATGGTCCGCCCTTGTCATGACCTAATACTCAAATAAGCAGTGTACCTACTGTTGAAAAACATACAATGCAGCAGAGGTCTATACAAATAAACGATGCAACGACGCAGTCAATGGGTTGTCTCACAAAACAAGGTAAGGTCTTAGCATCAGGACAGGACGTAACGCACACCTGACTACTGTCCCAACATCCATTTTCTGCGTATGATTCATTCCCGGCTCCCTTCACTAGCACAGTGTTTCCGCATTATGATGTAGGAAACTGGGTGCCCGGGGCGCCTCCCAGCCTCTGTGCATGGCGCCCAGGAAAGGTCACCGTGCCAGCTATCACAGCAACCTTGCAACGCTGCCGGCCGACGGGGAATGCACCGAAGGTCAGGACTGGATGTCCCGCGCGCCATTAATTGATGATGTTGAGAAAGGAATGTCGGCGGGGGATGGAGTTTATTTATAGTGCAAGATAACTAGGTTCGCAGTCTCGCTGTATTAGAAAGTCGGCAGGGTCAGCAAAGGTGGGTCAGTGGTGCACTAAATCAGGTGCATAGTTTGATGTGGTCTACGCTATAAATGCTTTTATCACGACAAAATGTTGCAGAAGACATGAAAGATTAACTCATTTAACCAAGCAGGTCGATTGCATCATAAAAGGGTTCGTCGCAAAAGTCATTACAGTTGCAGTGCTTTCCAGTGTAGTTTTATCGACAGGTGGTCTTCAATGAGGCAGCACCAGTGGCCTCAGCTCACATAAGTGAGGAAACCACGGTATAGCCTCAGGCGTCCGTGCCACCGGTTTTTCCCAGCGTCCAGGAAATGCTGCTCCATCGGCGGCATTAGCAGGAATAAGTCCGCCACGACCGTGAAAGGAGCGGTCCCCGGTCTCGGATTATGTCGCCTCCGCCCACTCGTTGGCACGGCTAGCGTGGGCGGGTCTGGACCGGTGAGGGAAAACTAAACACATCGGCAATAAACGCCGGTCTGGGGCAAACTTATTACCCGGTAAAGGCACCCAGCACACAATACAGAAATGAGGTCTGGAGTCTATGACCTCAACAAGCCTTTCATCACCCCAACCTAGAACTAACCCAAATTGACCCCGGGTCGACCTGCCGAGCCGCTTTCATAGCGTTTCATACTAACAACCAAGTTTGATTTGTGTGAACACATACAAAGCTACGAGCAGAGAACGCTCACGACCGGCCGTGGTCGCACGACGGTAAGTCTTTCAGGGGGAGCCGCAACGGCGGTGTGCGCTGCGGTCGCTTCATGGCGGCAATTCGAGTTACGGGTGCATTGACTGACGAGGTCATCACAAACCGGTCAGTATCCAGACAGGGTCAGCGGACAAACAGCATCTGGTGAGCATCTGTCGATTGCTGTAACGGATGACGTTAACGGGTCACGAGATATGGTGTTGTGGGCTGTGTTTGTCAAACATTCGTGGAATAAGTACCGGTGACGGTATCAGACGGGATGGTCGAAAATCTAGCAATGTGGTGTCTGTGTCAATTTAGGGTCTATACAATTGTATTTTGTGTGATGATTTGGACAGCAAATAATGTATTGCTTAGTGAAACTTTATCATCGTAACGGTGTAATAAAAAAAGAAAACCGAAAACCGAAAAAATCGCAAATTTACCTAGTCCAACCTATTACCAGCAACTGGCCTTGAACTTAAACTCACAGATTTTCCAGAACTAACAGATGAGCTGACATCCACGGCTCACCGTTGGCCCGACTGATCAGTGGTCAGTGGTCAGTGGTCACCCTTTCACCGGCCAGTGGCCACTCATTTGTCCATTAGCAGTTGTCCATACCCGAGGGTACCTTCCCGCCAGAGCAGCGCCCACCAATTATTCGTGCATTATCAACCGGCCCATTAGTCCGTTATGATTACGAGATGACGTTTGGAACAGGAGCCAACAATGGCTGCAGCTTTACAAAGAGACCGCCGATGAAAACCCGTCAGAGGTATCACGAAGTGTTGAGCGGGGACAGCAGCCGGTGGCATTTACCGCTGTGCTTAGAGTTGATGTCATAAAGATAGTCGTAGGTACACCCATTTCAGGGTGATTTACCCGCATGTTGAGCTGTGTTCCTCGTGACATTTTACAAGTTTCGCACACTGAAAAGATGTCAACTATGCACTAAGCACTAGAATATAAGACGGGGCTAGATTCATTACCGTGACGCGTCTCACAGCTGACAGCGTCACGGTAACAGCGCTTTCTGAAATATGTACAGAGAACAAAAGCGCCATTATCTCGTGAAATGTTGTCCGTACACTGTACAGAGACGACTTACCTGAGTAGGATACTGTACACGGACCAGTGGACTTACTTGAGTGGATACTGTACACTGTATGAGTGTACACAGATCAGTGAACTTATTTGAGTGGATACTGTATACAGACCAGTGGACTTACCTGAGAGGATACTGTACACTGTACACAGACCAGTGAACTTACCTGAGTGGATACTGCACATTCCACAGACCAGTGAACTTACCTGAGTGGATGGTGGATACTGTACACGGACTAGTGGACTTAGCTGAGAGGATACTGTACACTGTACACAGACCAGTGAACTTACCTGAGTGGATACTGTACACAGACCAGTGGACTTACCTGAGTGGATACTGTACACTGTACACAGACCAGTGGACTTACCTGAGTGGATACTGCACATTCCACAGACCAGTGAACTTACCTGAGTGGATACTGTACACAAACCAGTGGACTTACCTGAGTGGATACTGTACAGAGATCAGTGGATTTACCTGAGTAGATATTGTACACTGTACACAGACCAGTGGACTTACCTGAGTAGGATACTGTACACATACCAGTGGACTTACCTCAGTGGACTTACCTCAGTGGAAACTGTACACAGGCCAATGGACTTAGTGGACACTATACACAGACCAGGGGACTTACCTGAGTAGATACTTTGCACTGTACACAGACCAGTGGACTCACCTGAGCAGGTAGATACTGTACACTGTACACACAGACCAGTGGGTGGGCGCTGTACACAGACCAGTGGACTTACCAGGAGTGGATATTGTACGCTATACACAATACACAGACCAGCGGACTGACCTGAGTGGGTGCGTTTCATCCCGGCGCTGTTAGCTCCAGTGAAGCTGCCCCCACCGTTGAACATGGCCTCCTGCGAACAAACAGACCACCGGGCGTCTCACTGCGGGCCGGCGGATAAACAGGCGAACAGGAGCCGTTCAGCCCGCGCCGGCGCACACACATACACACACAGGAGAGCCTCACACAGGAGCCAAACTGAGCTGAGCGCTTCTTAGCAGACTGTCCTAACCGAGTCTTTTCAGCGCACTGCCAGCACTATACACCGCCCCGGCCGCGGCGACCCACTCCGCTCAGAGCCATCGACTCAGCTGGACAGGGACGCTACTGGGAAGGACGGTCAGCCGCCGACAGCGTGCCGAGCCGGTCCGACGGCTGGGCTACTGCGTGGGCGGCGCTCAACAGTCTGTCCGTGGCGGTGACGACATCTCTGAGAAGGGAGCGATGAGTCACAGGTGTCCTTGCCATGGCACGACTAGCGGCGGCACAGACTGGCTAAAGCTGGTGACTGTGAAATGAAGCGCGGCCGGGCAGCGCTCCGGGAGATCCACCGCGCAGATACTGCGGCGGTGAACGGGTGTGTCGGGCAGTGACACTATGCTCAGAGGGTCAACGGCAGGAGAGTGGTGAGGCAAGGTTCATGGAGGCAAGAGACGCAATAAGCTCGTGCTGCATGGCGATTGAGCTGCATGGAGAAAGAATGCAGCCTGTGCAATAAAACGCAGTCTGGTAGCGTGCAATCTTCTCATGAATGTCTAAACATCAACATCCTTTAGGACATTGATCACCGATAAATCCGATACCCAACTGATGCAAAGTATGTGGAAGAGCACGCCACATTGCGAGCATGATGGATGACAGGAGATAACGCGCCGCTAAAGCGGAGGCGTTACCTGTCATCACTATAACTTATCACCGATCTGAACAGCATCGTAATGCACATCGGTATTCAAAGCAGATCCCATCCTATCGATAGAAACATTACGCTGTGATTTGAAACCAAATAGCGGGTTTAAACACGCCTCGCCGCGCTCAACAGGCCGAAAATGCCCAATACACAGAGCAAATTTGATCCGGAAACTCGCCTTCGAGACTGGAATTTTGCATGCAAGAGTTTGCAGTTTATGTGCCGTAAAGCAGCGCTGGACAGCGGCCTGCGCTGCGGCGCGACTGAAGTGCACGGCCGAACAGTGTACGCTCGTTTGGCGTCTTAGCCACTGTCTACAGTCGGGGATTCACAGTGGAGCCCTGATCTGGCTCGAGTCCGAGAATAGCACGACCTATATATGGCCTTGAGCACGACACGCAGTCTGATCAGAACGAGAGTTGGCAAAGGTCTCAGAGCCGAGTACACATCCTCACTTATTTTCCATGCAGTGGGAATTCCCGACAATATGCTATATCTAATCGCAATGTTGCTTGGAATAAACAAGAGATTATGGAAAGCACAGCATATGATAAGCCTTAGCCGAATTCAAAACCAAGGACAACGCTCTACCTAAAAGTGTGACTTAACGGACAACGATAACATTCCGAAGACTAACGCTGGATTTCAGTCCAACAAATTGAGGACCACCTGGTCCTAGGGTCTAAATCCTAAAATTCCAGACTTCCCTACTATTCATAACAGCGTTTTGACTTTCGATCAGAGGCATTGCAAGCGGCATGGCCGAACACACAGGCCCAGGGAAACCCCGCCCTCCGTAGATAAATCAGAATCTGTGCATGGTCCGGTAGTTCTGAGTCCCCTGTCATAAGCATCACGCCCTTATCCATTCCATCACACAGCAGCGGGCCGCATTCTGATGTTTGTCACATGTCACGTCGCGTCACTTCACGCCACGTCGCTCCATGCCGCGTCACTTCACGTGACATAGCGTGACGTAACGTCAGTCACAATAACGTGGAAACTGCACAGGACCTGTCCACTATCCAGTGTCCCGACTGTCAAGCCTCAACGGCCGCGCAGGTTTGACCATTCCTCCTTGAACTCTCCACTATTCAACCGTTTAAAATCCCCCAAGGCAAATCCCGCTGCAAGCCAACGAGCCGGATTAAGATACAAACACCGCGGGTAGCGGCTTGTAATAATCCAACAGACTACATGACCATTTCCCGTCTGAAGACACGGCAACATCATAACCACCGCTCCGCAAAGCGAGCCACAATGAAGACATCGCTGGCGCACGGCGGCCGCGGCGAAACACAGCTCAGAAAGGGTAGCGAGCCGCATACTGATGAGGCCAGCCGCGACACACCACAAAAGAACTCGGCCCTCCACGTCTGATCGGCGCCGGCAACGGCACATGTCGACACGTTCATACATCATCGCGGAGTCAAAGCCTCCGACGACCTGCTTACTCAGTAAACGGGACAAAGCCAAGAGGCGGACAGATAGAATAGAACTAACTCGAGAGGCGGCGGTCTCCTTGCAAGTTGACAGAGAGCAGTCGCCGATAAAAACGTAGACACTTGAACAGCTGGCATGGATGATCACAGAAGCGAGAGGCCGGACCGAGGTCAATCTCACGACGTTCAAACGTGCAGGTCACGCACCGTTCCACGCTGTGTCGACGTCTTGCCAGCAAGGCCGTCTCGTCGTCTGCCTCATTGTCTCACCGCCTGTCAGCTGTCTCGTTGTCTCACTGCATCATCTCAATGTCGCACTGCATCGTCATCTCTAGTGTCTCGGCCGTCTCTCTACCATGCTTCTCACCCTCACGGCCTCCTCTATTGGCGTGACGATCCGTCTGTCGGTTGCAGTTCCCACTCCGCCGCCGCCAGGGCCGCTCCGTCACCGATCCGCCAGCCGCGGTGACCCTGCCAAGCCTCTGCATGCGGTGTGCGCTCGTGCCAGGCCGGTCGCGGCCGTGTCGCCGGCTTGGTGCGGTGTGACCACCACAAACCGCAGGGGAGGGGGATTGGTGCTGCAGCACGGGAGAGTGCAGGAATGACCAGGCGCTATTCAGGCGGCTGTCGGCGGAGACCGCCCACCGCAACAGTGGACAAAGGAGCAGACGAGATTCGGAGATTCGATGACACTTGAAGACGAGCGGTAACGAGGGTGCACGGTCTTGCAGCCGACTGGTCGGTTGCGCAAGTAATAAAAACGTCCTTACTGCGAAGTCTCTGGATTTCTACCTTTCGATTGGCTCGTTTCTCTTCTTGATTCACTTTTCGGCTCTTAATCATGTACGGTCTTTCCACACAAAGCTAAAAATAGATAAAACCAGCCTTGTTGTTCTTAGACTACATCTTCTCCCTCGCAAGAACTCAAAAGCTAAGCAATTAGGACACACACAAGCCGGCTATCCTTCCCCATTCAAACAACCTAAACAAACAACTCCAAGTAACGTGTAGTCTCATGTCGCAGATAAGCTCACCGTTACATTCCTGCCAACACCCCTCGATTAGAGTAATCCGCTTCGGCGTAAATCTGTTGACTGGCTTGAAAAATATCCGATCCGCTCATGGTTAGACCCGGCAACCTCATGTTTCCGTTACAGTTACGGTTTAGAAAGACATCAAACGCGGTCGAACGAATGCAGTGGGTAGAACGAAAGCTACACAGCAAGGACGATGAGAAATTATTGCAGATATGATGAGACATTATAGCACAGATGATGTAGGGATAATTGTCTGTACGATACAGTATTCTTGCATAGGCGAGACGATGAAACTTTATAGAAGAGACGATGAGGCAGTGTCTCAGAGACAATGAGACATCATTGCAAATACAAACGTGCAATAAAGGAAGAGATGAGCATTTGCAGCATCGTCTCCACTCCACTGCCAAAGCCGCGGTTAGTTCATACGGAACGCGGCGGATCAGGTGACCACTATGGCCAGAACATCAGCACATGAGGCATAAATCACGAGATTGGGTGACAAGGGAGTAATCAATCATGTTCACGCCTTCCGAGAAATTCGGAGGCAGACGGATTGTCCACTGCGTCAATGACAAGGATGAGCTCAATTCACACTGATCCGACTCATGACCTTGTCAAAATTAAGCACGACCGTATAAATCGCTCGAATCAATTTGAAGCCATAAGCGCTCCGTCGTTCGTTTTTTAGACCTCGCTTGGATTTAGCGAGATTTAGATAACGTTGCATCACAAAGGAAGCCGCCACGAAAACACTCCACACCGCCTCGCCCGGACGTCAGGTTCTCAAGCACTGACTGCAGTTGGCCAAGCATCCGCCCCGCTGTCCGAAGCACAACAAACCTGACGTAACCGGCGTCCGGTACACTGACCCTCTCTCTCTCTCTCCCCTCTCCTCCACTCTAATCTGACCACTGTGACCGGTCAACAATCCTCCTCAGTTCCCGGCGGAAACAAAAATCGCTGACCACAGCGGAAGACGGCCTCTGTTTGGTCACGTGACCGGTAGTCATGCGGTCACGGCTTGGGTCACAGGGTGATGCAACATGAAGGCACGAAGTCGCTGCGGCAGCCGACTCAGCCCAAGCCACGGCCGCAGCCACAGCGAAGTTCATGTCACAGTCGCTAGTGCGGTTTCGCTTGCAGCAGCAGAAGAGCCACGTCGCAATAAATGATAGCGATAGTCCACGACACCGATTGAAGTAAATAACTGCGAGCGCAATAGCCCCGCAGCACAGTAGCTATGACAGCCCAAACGACAGCCTTAACTGATGCCTCCATTGTCGCTGCACCGACAAGGCGGAACAGCCCCGGCGAACTACAGGAGCACAGATGGCCGGGGTGATAGACATCATCAGATGAGCATCAGTCGCTCCTGCAAAGTGCAGGCAACGGTCACCGCGCAAACCTGTCCCGGTCCGTCCCCGCCTGTCCGGTGGCTGGTCGGGACACAGCGCGGAGCTGTCTGATGCTGCGCCGCCGCCGCCAGCCCACCGTCCGCCCCGGTCAGCCCAGCAGGAGGGAAATCACCGGCATACATTACATGGCACGCCGCTGGTCGGGGCCGACCGGCAAGGCGCGGCGGCTAGTCTGCTGCCGGCGTGCCGCCGCCCGGGGCTGGATGATAGATCAGCTACCGGGTCCAGCAACCGCTAATGTATCTGGGCCTGATCGGCGGGGGCGGGGTGGATAACAAACTGAGGCGCCGCCGACGGGAAACTAAGTCATGGTGACTGGGCGGGAGATGAGGATAAAGACGTCGGGAGAGTGATGGGAAGGGATGGGATGTGATGAGACGAGAGCAGGGCACTGTGGCACGACAGAGTCGTGCTTGAATGCTTCATGTAAGACACCTAATAAGCCGACACGAAGCAGGAAGCGTTTTGCAGTGGCGTCGTTATAACTTTGTTGTTTGTTGGGGTTTTCGGCCGTGTCAATAGCGAAGCTATTACGCGCATATTTTATACGAGCTTATCGCCCCGGCTCCTCACATGTTTTCGGGGTTTCATTCCCATTCAAAATCACCAGTACCAACACAACCATTTGGCGCTATTGCATGAGCCCCCTCCCCCCCCCCCATACACACAGACATACCAACTAAACACGCTCTTTTCCGACTACCTACTTTCCTCCGGTAATAAATTACACCCGCTACTGAAACAAATTGATCTTATCTCAAACAACCACATTTCATTATACAATCCCACCCACCCTTCCAAACGAACCCCACTCCTCCCGACACTTCCCTCAGCTCCGACTCTTCCTCACCTGTTTCGGGTACAAGTCCGCGAGTTGGTGCAGCAGCGGCGGCTGAGAACCTGCCGGAGCCACCACGGAAGAACAGAAGAGAGTTAGTCTGGTCACTCGGCGATAATTTCGCGTACACACTCCTGCACTCACAGCGTTTACTCAGCGCACACTTCGGACACTCACAACTGTGCGCTCACAGCACTGATATCCGTGCAATTGCACGGAATCACTGTTGTCCTTCGAGGGCACAGGGTAACAGAGATTACCGCCAAACACTGGACACCACAGAGCACTGGGATAGATCACGATGAGGAAGGATTTGATATTGAAACGTAGACGGACAAGGTCGCGATCGCTCGTTTCTCACCAAATAGGAAAGATTCCGACTTCGAGAACACAGCTGAAAGGATCAATTCCACAAGGCACTTTTCCAGCACGGTCTCGCACAGCGACACCGACCACCGACCAGCTGCGACCACGGACCACCAACACCGACCCCGACCAGCGACCAGCGACCAGCGACCAGCGCCGTCGATATGACACGGTGGTGACAGCGGCGCGGCGACCGGAGGTGGTCAGCTGACAGCGGCGTCGGCGGCGGACCACTGCCGGCCGGCCGTGGCGGCGGGGCTGGCGGCGGCACGTCCCCGTACAGCCCTCAGAACCGGTTGGCTGGTGGGAGTGGGCAGTGAACATCGGCGGCAGCACGGCAGCGCCGCCCGCCCGCCCCGGCCGGACCTCCCCCAGGGTGAGGATGGCACCGTGTAGACAGGGGTGGGGGGTGGAGGGTGGGGGGGGGGGGGAGCGGGGATTGAGCTAGGGAGTCGGTGACTCGACCTGCCCGTGGGCTGGCAGAAGCACGGTGTAAAAATGTGTTGAACGGGAACCGTAGAGAAGGAAATAAATGAGACAAATCTGATGAAAAGCAAAGAACGAACAATTGACCGAGAAGTACAGAGCAATTCTAAGAAAAGATCGTGTAACAAGCTATATTAGACATGAAAGCGTAGCGTTAAACGCTTTAGAACTTCGACGATTGAAACAAAGACCAGACAAGTGACAACAGACTACAGATCACATATCCGACCAAACTACAAACTTCTGATTATGTACATACTATAATGAGAAGGAAATACCGAACCATCAACTAATCTGTCCAGTGTTCCCCTCCCCGATTGCTTGTTGTTGATCTGACTGAGGTCGTACCATCATTGGCCGCTTGAATTTTGTGACTCGTCGCGTATTTCCTCTTCACAAACATATTCAGGAAAATGCTAGTCCTCCCGGACTTGACAGGTGTTCCAATTTAGTTGTTTTGCACTGGTATTTTAGGCGGCAAAATAACAATAGCTTCGTTACAAGGGAAAGCATAAAAAATTCGGCAGTTATGTAGAAGTTATATAGTGAAGCATGAACGACATAATCGTATTCCAAAAAAAAAAAACTAGAAATCGACCTACACAAAATCGTGGTTTGTTGCGTTTATTGCAATGTGCCGCAATTGATAAAAAGTGTAAAGCACACATTCATCGATGTTATTAGACGAAATCACGGTGAGAAAACAAAACAAAAAATGAGAGGATTACGAGAAGCGTAGAACAGCCTCCAGCTATCATACTGAGAACTATTCGACTATTCGCTATTTGACTCCTAGCGAGCACATATGTCGCATGTTAAGCTAAATTTTCCCGGTAATGGCAGTCAGTCCGTCATCGAAAGAGTCCACACGCAATACCAGTTCGGGTTTCTTTAGAAATGAACAGCCGAAGATCCGTTTAGGGAAAAAATGCGTGGATTCAATCGTCCACAATACAAGCAAAGAAATTAACTCGATAAAAATGGGACCGTACTACGAGCAAATTCATCAAAAATGGCAAACAGGAGCGTCTGTTGCTTCCACCTAAAATGGCTAGAGGTAATTCGCTAAAAACTAATCTTTCCTTGTACGGATGAGCGAGCTTGACTGAAATACTTCATACAGCGCCGATAATAAAATATAGCAAAATTGGATTCCATTTCGCACACGACGTGCATTTAAAAATGACCTTAACGGTTTTCTTCAAGACAGGACTTGCTTGGACACAGACTTCACTGAATGTCCTTGACGCAATGGGGAATAACTGCAGGGATCCCTTTACATTAAAGCGCAATAAATCAGTGGTTCATTAAGCACTGGAAACGGAACCATATTAGAGGAATATCTCACATTGTTCAGCCGTCTGTCCGTCAGAATTAACGAAAGACATAATCATCCGTCACGACACTGGGCAAACCAGGATATGTCTGACAGACAAACCCGTATGGCTATTCAATTTATATATGGGTGGATATGACAGCGCCCTAGAAGGCATTTTCAAGATGACAGCACATGGTCATGTGGAGAAGAAAAAAGCAGCGCAGCTGATGAAAAGGATATTAGATATGAAGCAACATACTCGTAAGCACAATTAGAGCTAACAATATTATTTTATACTGTAACTTATCAAGCTCACGGCTTGAGTCGACAGATGAGATTAACGGTATTTGTGCAGCTTCGCTCGGTCAGCTTTGTTTTGAGGAAGCGCAGGAGAATGTTTAATGCCTGACAATAAATCCAGGAAACGTCAAACCATGGATAAGGGTAGAGACAGATAAATGCAGAAACAAAGACAATAGCAGAAGATAACAAAATCCTGGCATGCCTCATGACTGTGTGGGCGTCCCTAGCCGTACCTGTTGTGGAATGCGGCGTAAGAGGTTGTTAGAGGAGCAGCTGGAAACGGGAAGGGAAAGATTCGGGCGGCCCCAACATTCCGTAACGACAACCGAGGAAGGGCTGATGATGGACAGGGGGATGGGGAAGGGTAGTCGACACACTCAATCTATGGCGGCCTAATATCGGGCTCAACACTCACCGTCGATCTTCTGTGGCGAGGCCCACAGCGAGCGGCGCTCCTCGGCCGACGGCGACTTTGAGTCCTCGCCGGCCTGACGATGTCAGAGACGACTTGTCAGAGACGACTTGCCATGCAACGCTGCTAAGACATGGCTAGACTGAGACACAGTTAAAGGAACTATCCCACCTTCTAAAATGTTGTTAAAACCAGTTAAATTGTGCCCGACTTTATAGATTGGATGACCAGGAACACGGTTCTGGCATTTATTTTTCATTAAACATCTTAGGCTTCCCATATTCCAAACACAAACTTTCAAATATGTGACGTCACAGCCCAAAATTACCTCCTTCCCCAGGCCACATTACTGTCATAAAGCTGATTCTTTTTACTCTGTAGGCACCACAACAAAGTTCAGACCAAGTTTTAAGCGATTTTTCAACGAACAAACCCATTTAAATCAGAATGACTAAACGAGGTGACGTCACACTAACGGTTGCTCCATGTTGAAGATAGGGCCTTGCGCAAGGCCCATTTTCAAATGAAGGGAACGAATTTCTTCAACACCAAGAGGCCGCGGGGGTTGCAACCTAGATAGATAGTGGTTTCTGAACCTCGCCGCAAACTTGGCTATCTCAACTCAAACCCCATGTTAAAGGTGGGATAGTCCCTTTAAATCTAAGGAGACAGTGCAAAGCTTGCGTAGCAGTGCTCAGACACGGTAGCAGTGCGGGTATTCACAGTTAGCAATGCCGACACACTGCACTGATAACGGTATCTATAATACACGCACTGCACTGATAGCGGTATCTTATAACACACGCACCGCACGGATACGGCGTGTTATGCACGCCACGCACACTGAGTTATTATACCACTGGTATCCAGGCAGTACGAATGGTAGGTGCCCCTTCCACAGTACGAACGCATCCGTAGGAGACGAATTAACTTCCAGTGATGTTATGCAACTTCTAGCGGATGTTCGCTCAACACCGTCTATCAGACGACCTCAGCACGGTTGCAACTCTTCAGGACTTGTCGCACTAGAACACTCACTAAGCCTGTTCCTGAACATTTTCTGGTTCCGCGAATATCGATCTAAAATTCAGACACCATCCCGGGCAGTGTGAGTGCCTAAAACTAACAGCACCATCGGATGCCAGCGTAGCTCCGTAGCCACGTCTAACCAAACACGCGCGCGGCGAGACTGATGGCCCGGACAGCTGTCGGCTGTCACACTCGCCGACCGGAAGACTGATAGGATATGTGGTCGGGTCGGTCAGAGTCGGAACAAGTGCATCACAGAACAAGGGTAATATGGCAAAATCTAGCGGTTATGTGCGGTTTTGGGATGGCTGTTCGGTTAATAGACGGAATACGGGTATCTCGGGGAAAAGAAAACACGGTGTTTCTAAAGAGATTGTCGACCATAAAGAAACGAGATAAGGTTTCAATAAAAACATCAATACTGATATTCAATCATTAAAATGCAAACATTTGTGTTAGATTGTACTCGTAAAAATGAGGTTCTTTTTAAGTCGCCGCGTTTTGTTTAATGTCGCTATCCCAACGTCAAATACCTAGCGCCAAGAGCCAACCAAACCAAAACACCTTCCTCAAGCTGCACTAAGCCGGATAATGAGTAACTGCCCTATGAGACCACATGGCTCAGTATTTTCCGGTCAAACCGCTCCCCATTCTCGGAAGAGGCCGACGGGAATCCAGCGGCGACTCCGGGATTGTGGCGACCCACACCCAAAACCTCTCCTCAGCTCACCACAGCCAAACATCTTGGGCCAGTCACGCCACAAGTCCGGGTTAAGTCGCTAGCACCTAATTCCTCACCATAAACAACTGGATTTAATTGAAGAAAAAAAATGCGTTCTCGTGTGACCATGAAGGCTAGAAAGTATCAAAGCCGCACAAATAAGTGCTTATTCGGGCCGTAGCACACAGTATCTCCTTTTCAGCCGCCGGGAGCGGCTCGCGAGCCCATCCGTGATTGTTTCGATGGAGGCTATTCCAGTGAATCCATTGCATCACCGATACCGGTTCATAATCCCTGCCTCGCCCAGACCGCGACCAAACCGGTCCAAACGCCCCATCCCGAGCCATCGACTCCAGCGCCCCGGCGGCAGAAGGCTGTAGCGTTAGTACCTGGTTTGCTCCAGAGGTGGCAGCACAGGTGGTGTCGGTGCACGGCCAGCTGGGAACCCTGGAGTGCCGGGCAAAGCGGTCAGAGGTGCAGCTTGGCAGGACATATGTGCGCTGGGTCATGCAACATGCAGTGACTGAGGGTGGGGCAGGGGAATTCAACCACCATAACGGACAAGACAAGGGTTTTAGACAAGGGACGAATGCATGGTCGGACGCCAACATACACACGTGCAGTCAGTGAACATTTCAACCAGCACCAAACGCCACGAGACATTGAAAGCACAAATACAAGGGCATAGCAGTTAATGTGCAAGCAAGCAGTGTGTATCCGGCAACAAAGCGTGCTCATCATTTCGTGTCCTACACCAACAGCTCCGCTTGCACCGATATTTCAGTCAATCTTTACAGTATAACAGCTGTGACGAATTCCATCATGCCTCCCCCTTCTCATTCCTTTACTCGGACCATGTAACAACACAAGTGGCACCTCACCCAGCAGCATGTGCCAGACCAGCCTCCAGGTGTTCCTCCGCACCCCACACTCACCTCTGTGTGCTCCAGAGTCTCACAGATCGCGCCTTCTCCTCAGGTGAGGACTCGGGCTCCGCCTCCGTCTGAGTGCCCGCCTCCTCTCGGATGGGGCTCGGTGGATCCTCAGAGGGTTTGTCCTCCAGTGTCTCGGGTTCAGTCTGGACGGCCGCTTCTAAGACAGAGGTCGGCCGGCTGCGATACACCGCTGAAGAGTCTGGAACGGAGCACGACGAGTGGTCAGCGAATGGCCTTATCGTGACAAAAGAGTACATTCACCATACAGTCAATGTCTTAAAAACAGGTTAGATGCGTACTGGGAGTCGATCTGGTACTGTACTCCTGCTGCCGGCTGAGTACAGATTTAAAGTTTACGAAATGAGAAAACGGGCCCTGCAGGACATCGTGGCTCTTAACCCGATGACACGAAGATGTAGCTGGGATGATGGGTGCGATCTGAGATAGCAACAAGGTTCATCAGAATAGCAGGCTGCCACCGACCTTACAGCTAAATACATGCATGCACGAGGCGCTAAATCAGGCTTCCAACAGCTAGGCCAAGCGCAGTCATCACAGCTGATGTCTACCCATGCGTCTCCATTCTACGTGTCTTCCAGCATTCCGTCAGTTTTGGTGGCATATCCCGACAAAATGACCATCGTAGGAAGCATCCATCGAAGCTGCTATATTCAAGCCCGGCCTAAAACTGACTGTTCAGGCCGAGTATTTAGGTCTGCTCACCAAGGCGCCGGCCACGCGCTGTAGTCTCCACCCTCGCCGCCCCCCCCCCCCCCCACCCCGTTCCTCAAAAGCAGGGCTGCGGAGTCGGAGTCGGAGTCGGAGTCGGAGTCGGTCGGAGTCGACAGTTGTGACCGGAGTCGGAGTCGGAGTCGGAGTCGATTTTAGAAACCCCGAGCCGGAGTCGGAGTCGGAGTCACCGAAAATCTGTCGACTCCGCAGCCCTGCTAGGTCTGCGGAGTCGGAGTCGGGAGTTGGAGTCGGTCGGAGTCGACAATTTTGCCCGGAGTCGGAGTCGGAGTCGGGAGTTGGAGTCGGTCGGAGTCGACAATTTTGCCCGGAGTCGGAGTCGGAGTCGGAGCTGGTTTTTGAAAGCCGGAGTCGGAGTCGGAGTCGGAGTCGGAGTCGCCGAAAATCCATCGACTCCGCAGCCCTGCTCAAAAGGCACGAGTTACGCACCACACCAACCCACCGCCCCATTTAGCACGCTCACCGTTCGATTCTGACGCAGCCGAAGAGAACTGGTCGTCCAGCTCCGCCGACTCGTCCACCCCGGTCAGAGGGGATCGCTCCTCCTCACTCTCTCTCAGCTCGCTCTCTGCCCGCCGGTGGCCCGACTGAGGCGTGCTGGCCATCCGCAGGCGGCGCGGAACCGACTGAAGGGAAACAGAGGACGGGAGTCGTAAGTGCAAGCTACCTGACAGAAGTCGCAGACAGCACGACAAAACACTGTTATCACAATATGGATCACGTGTCATCCTCACTTACGTTGAATACAGAATGATAAAAAACGTACGGGTCTCGCGGATTTTAGCGGTAGGCTTTGCACCTAGAAAATTTAGTGTACTTCAGGCTATATCTTCTCCGTCTTAAGCTTTTAAGTGTGGAAGATGCGATCGACTTGTTGGTTCACAAACCGGCCATAATCGTGTAAAATGGCTTCATCGTAGATCGATTAGTTTCTAAGATATAACCGGAAATGTAAAAGTACAAAACCTACCGCTTGATCTCACGAGAGCCGTAAGATGCGTAAACACGTAAAACGCGGACAATAAACCCTTGACAGGTTAGCACAGCGCGCTAGTCTCACAACAATGTCGTGCGAGGCCAGAAACTTGCCTATTCACCGAACCCAACACCTGAGAATGGTTAGACAACCCGGTGATGTCCGTTCTGGAGCTGACCTTGAAGTGCAGGTTGAGCGGACTGGCGAAAATGGCGTGCACCAGCTCGGGAGAAGCGATGCCGGACAGTGGCAGGATGGGGTCGCCGTCACCGGTGGTCTGAATCTGCAGAGGACACACAAAGCGAGACAGTCAGTACGACGGTCATGAACACCGTTACCAGCAACGTAAGCAGGACATCCTCAGCGCCGTAAACAGAGTCGTTCCGTGTTTTCTCTGCGTCGCCAACAAAAATCAGTAACTACATACGCTCCCAATATCAGTGTCAAACCTCACAGTGTACAACCAGCATCAGTCAATGTACCAGAAGCAAAGTAGCTTCTCTCGCTGTGTATGCCTCCATAATTAATGAATATCCCGGGGAAAAATATGAATAGCACTTCAGTAACACTGACATGAACCAAACAAACTCCACATCCAGACACCAGACTCATTGCTGTCGTTCCGCCAACACAGCCAATACCCAAACCTCCTTTGTGTCGACCCCTCTCCCTCTGCCCTTCACTGACCGTGTTGATAATTTCATCGTGTATGGAGCCGTTGTTGACGGCCAGCGATGCGGGGCCCGAGTGGGACGCGTCTCCGCCGGCCGGTGAGTTCAGCCGCAGAGTCTGCAGCTGTTTCCGCACCTTACTGAGCTCGTGGGAAGTGCGCGACTTCTCGTCCTGAAGAGCCTGTGGGACAGAAGAAAAGGGCAGCAAACTGTCAGCATCATCGGCTTCGTGTTATCAAATGGTGTACGGGACTTGTAAGGAAATAAAGGAAAGTCAACACAGTACAAAGTCAAACAGTATCCTATTTGAGCTTTAGGGCACGCCCAATAATTGCAGTGGCCTACGATAAATCGACTTTAAAAACTAACTCATTCACAATTCAAACTTAATAAAGTCATCAGCGTTACCCGTTTCTGTTCACCATCCACCTTACGTCATTATCCAGTCCAAGCCCACAACACAAAATATCACAGAGCACCTCACCAACTCCCTCCCTCACTCCCCACCGCCTTCCCTCGTCTTCCCTACTTTCTGTCCGCCATTTCTCACCAGCGAGGTATCCCTCATCTCTCTGATGGTCGAGTGCAGGGCCGCTATGGTGGCCTGGGAGGCGGCGTTCCGCTCATCCCTGTCCCTCAGATCATGTCGCAGGGCGTCGGTCTCCCGCAGGGCGTCTCCCAGGCTGGTGTGAAGCTCATCCTCGCGGCCGGCGGCCCGCACCGCCTCTAGTTCAGCAGTGCTCAGCTGAGGAGGGGTGGGAGAGGTACTGGTCTGTCAGGCACGGTTTGCTGCCCGGGGCATGGTGAACAGTGGCTTTCGGGCGAGACAGGGTTGGCTATGTGGCTGGAAAAGCTGAAGATTAAATATTATTCTGACGATTATGGAGGTAAATTTGCAGCCGCTGAAGTGACTGCGTAGACTTTGTGTTGCTTCGAGATAACTATTCGGAAAATCCATACTATTTTATATCCAAGGCCATGGCCATAATTGATATCTACGATTACCGTGAAGGTTAGCAACCCCCTTTCATACCCAAAGCCACGCACACAAGTGCCCAAGGGGTCTAATACTAGGTCTCTCACCGCCCCTCTCTCATCCAATACCTACCCTGGTGGCCAGCAGTTCCATCTCCTCCTGCTGGGCGGCGATCAGGCGCTCCTGGTGCGCCGCCTGATCGCGCTGGATCGCTCGCTGGCGGAGCTCCGCCTCCAGCGCTGCCTGGAGTCGCTCTGTCTCCTGACGGAGTGAAGGGATCCGGCGTAGCTCGGCCGACATACTGACGAAGACGAAGAGACAGGAGCTGTCACACCGGATATAGCAAGACAGCTTATTACCGTGCCAGACGGGCTGGGTACAGATAACCACGGCCTACGACGGTGCTTTTTCAGGCGGGTGGTAGTTGAAATCGACAGCACTTCCCGAAATATGGTTGAATTGGCTTGACAGCATGGTGACTATGCCAAACTAGGTATCGACAACGAAACCACACTGCCATGCAAAACTATCTCTGGCAATCAGAAGCGTCACACACGCGTCCCGATTCTCTCAACATGATACACACTTGAATCCAGTAAGCTTTTCCTCTTAGACCCCTCCCCGGGCTACCTCACAACCTTTTGGAACAGTGTCTGTTTGCCGTTTATTATTCCTGTCCGTCAGTCATTCTTGTCTCCCATTCGCACGCCCCACCTGTCGTTTTTGTCAGCCATCCGTGCCAGCTCGGCAGCCAGCTGCTGGTTGGTCTCCTCCAGCTGCTGCAGCTGCTGCTGCAGCTGGTCCCGCTCCTCCTGCAGGGCGCGACTCGAGTGCTGCAGCTGCGCGATGGTTCCCTCCAGCGCCGGCACGTCCCTGGACACAGCGGAGAGAGGGGTGGTCAGGCACACACCAGCCGAGATACTAGCCGTGAGTATATTAAGCCCATGTGCAAGGACTGGAGGGATCATAAGCGAAGTTTGCATGTGAGCCGTGTAGTAATACTCGTACACCGATCCGACAAAACAAAACGCCCTCATTTCAAATGCTTATATGCTACGATGCTGGTCAGATTCAACACATGCTTCCGGAATCTTAAGTGGTGCTGTTAACATTTGGAATGTCCATCGATCATCGAGATATAAAGGTACCTGTTTTTATGTCAACATTTGTGCTCAGGTGAGTAATGTAATGTGCCCTGTGTGTAACGACTCCAGCTACAAGTTGCTGATGATCATATGGTTTTATGCGCGTCCAAACTTCAGAAACCATCATCGCCTAACGTTAAAGTCTAGCCTCTACCCTTCCTGCCTCACCATAACTATTACAGCAAACCACACCCAACACTCACACTGGTGACATCTGCTGGCCGACTCCCTCGTAGCTGCTGCAGCTGCTGGTGTCCAGCACCTGGGAGCTGTGGAGGATCCCCAGGGAGGAGGCGCGGCTCCCCAAACTGAACCGTCCCGCAGCGTGCAGCCGGCCGCCGGCTCCCGACTGGGGGGATGGAGACGGCGGGGTGGTGTCCGGAACTGCGCCGCTAGCGAGGGAGAGGGGGCGGTTAGAATAAACTAACTGGTACCTTGGGCGAGAAGCTGAGCGTGGTTTGTAAGAATGATGGCCCATGATCGGGTAGAAGTGACTTTATAGGAAAGTGTGACATTATTCTGGCCATTTCCGACACCGAAGTTACGACCGTGCATCGATTCTCACAAAATGAGCCACATGATATACCTATCATAGCATATCATGATACCATCATATCTTACGCTACGTAACAACGCATTGAACTATACCAACTCCCGAAAAGACGGCGGCAGTTTGATCCAACATCGTCTCGTCAACTCACGGCTGCATCAGCTGGGCGAGCGTGCTGTTGGCGGTGCTGACGGCGTCCCTGAACATGTCGGCGGTGACGGGGCCGTCCTCGCCGTCCGCTGTCAGCGACTGGGCCACTGCCTGCAGCCACTCTCTGACGGGGGTGAGACAGACGAGATGGTCAGAGCTCTCAGAGCCTGGTGTGGATCACAGAATAGCATCGGCACACTGCCTGCACTGATGTATGCTGTTTGGAATACATCCCAGAGATTTTCCAGGTATCATTCAACGACGATTACATTGCGTCATAATATCACGTGAAAAATGACTCGAAGTCGGAGCACTACGCCCAACAGCCAAGCTTTCAATGACACTTTTAGCCCGCGGTAGACTCTTTCAAACACCCTAAACATATCCCAAACCCTGTGAAACCCACGCCACCTCTCACCGGCAGACGTCGGGTAGCTGTTCCCGCACGAGGCGCAGCAGCCGTCCAGCCGGCAGCTCGCCGGCTCCCGACTCATCGCACGCTTCGAATAGTGCCGCCGCTGCTGCCCGGTCTGCCGACGAACAATCACGCACGCACGCATACGCTGCGTCAGTAGAGAGGTGAAAATCGGCGACAGAATCGAGTTATGAGAAAAATTATGTTTCACTTCTTTAATGAGCTAACTCCCCAAACATCACACAACGGCAAAGTATAAACATAAATCATTTCACATATGTCAGTGCTAGACGCATATAACGCAGTCATCGTGCACCCTATTGCGTCGAATTTTGCATCTCCATTCACGCGTAACATATCCGTCAGGCAGAAATCAGGCGTCAGCATACGCTAGCGCGCTATACTGATCGATGGAATGTCATATTGGACGTGAAAATTGCCGTCTCTGGCAGCAGAGACGCAGTGCCCTCAGCAGTCAGCGCGGTCAACGCACATTGAAACGAACGGTCGGACGAAAATAGCGACACAACTCTACACTCCCGAAACGCAGCAAAATCTTTGTTAAAGGAAAAGGGTCACCTTTAACATACAGGGTTGGGCAGATAAATTGGGACAAAATACATATTTGCATTTAGAACGCCGTAGCTTGGAAATTTGTTAACATAGGCATTTCAAATTTGGATCACATATTGTCACACCAATTTTACACATTTTCACCAAATATGGTCACCGTGGTCCACCTGCATCAGTCCTTATCGGTGCCTGGAATGGCCGCACGCGCGCCGAGATCTCCCGTCTGAAATGGCTCGTAATTGTAGCCAACTGGCACTGCTGAGGCTCACCACAGTCATATGGGGACGTTCGTTAGGCTCACCCGCAAAAACGCCCCAGCAACCAGAACTTGTGTGGGCTGAGGTTTAATGAGGAAGGGGGCATTTTCCCTTGGGTACAGTTTGCGGGATCCTCCGTTTCAGGAGATTTTGTATTTAATTTACTGTATGCCGGGGAGCTGACTCCTCGAAGAGCATCACTCCATGCAGGATGTTGCCTTCTTTCATCTTGTTGATTCGAACTGCCGGAATAATGGTTAGGTACCCTGTAATGGCGAACCCCCTCCCGGTTCCGTAAAATAAGGGGCCCCACGTGACCGTCATGGAAGTCACCGAGTGGAATACCATCACCGATGTCTGCTGCATTCTTTTTGGAACTAAGATCACGTCTTCTGGGCTGGTTGCGATGTTACATGGTGTTTGCGGTTGTTCATATGTTCGGTTATGGGGATACCGTCGTCGAAAAAGACCTGCACGTGCTTGCTCGCTTCTCCAAGCCCTTCAAGAGGAAACAATTTTTTTTAACGTCACAGCTGCTTCAACATCTATGTTGACAGGTTGATATGCATCAATGCATAAGAGTACATGTTTGAGGTGCTGGTATTAGGTATATCGCTTTCTCATGGCGCGGCTACCTTCGTTGTAAGCTCGCGCCACTGTTTTCGCGAGGATCCTCTGATTTAACTGAATTTTGCCTTTCAGCCCCTCTGGAGAACCGGGGGAGCGGCCGGTGTCAATGCAATTGGTATGTAAGGATGAGTCAATATCATCTCTTCCTCCAACGTTTACGTCTGTTCGATACACACTACTTTCAGCCATTTGATGGAGCATAATTAGAGTATTGGCACGCATGTGCGCGCGGACTAAGTTGATAGTGGCTTGCTTAAGCCCACGTTCTGTAACCAGCCGACTCAAAATTGCAACGCAACCTGCATAACATGGAAACGTATTCATTAGCCTATATTTATGTTCAAAAATTATCTTTATCACTCAAAAAATAGTCGTTTTAGAGGAAGCTAAAATTTGTCCCAATTTATCTGCCCAACCCTGTAGGGTTTGAAACTGAGATGGCCATCTTGTAGCCCGTGTCCGAAAACCCCGAGAGTGTCCCACCTTACGGCCGATTTCGGCCTCCATTCGTAGGTATCGGCAATTTTAAAAGAAAATATGCCAGGAATGCGTCCTTATCCCAGGAATGCGTTCTTATCCTGTAATACAGCCACCCGCGGCGAGGCTTTGGTTTTTAACCAATCAGCTCCAATCAGCTCAGCTTTAACCAATCAGCTAATCTGACACAAGCCGACGAGTCTGTCTTCTGAAGGCTGATTGGCTTGAGTGTGATGTCATCGCTATGACATCATACAGAAGGTGCGGTAGAGAGTACAAACATAGTACCAATATGTTAAATAGTTTGACATACTTTTTTGCAAATTATGCACTTCTGGCACCAGATTTAAAAAGAACATGAAAAATAATAATGTCAAAATGAAAAGCAACGATATCTTCATATTTCACGAAGGTGGCACTTTTCCTTTAACTAGTTAATTTAACATCAACGTAAATATGGACGGTATATATTTCAAAACAACATAAACATTAGCGTAATATACTCTGTCCGAATTATAAGATAAGCACATCCGATGCTAAAAATTGCTATTGAATGTTTAACAGAAATCAGCCCATGAATTAGGTTTACGCTAGCGAATTTCGATACAACAATGGCAGTTTGCCGCTCAGTGTCCCAAAATTGAGTTTTGTCTTGGGTGTCAGAGGGGAAAATTACCCACCAAAAAGAGGGGAGAGAGTGGAAAACTGCTGATTCGATTAGACCAAAAAGGAGTGAGAAATGACAAAAAGCATGCATTTTATTCTAGGGTGTAGAATGTTTGGTGCTAACTGGGCATCCACACAACTGTCTTTCTATAGGTAAAAAATCTATGTTTTCTTGGTTGGGACTTGGGAGTGGAAAATTGTTCTTAAAAATGGTGGTGAGAGTGGAAAATGAATTTCATTTGGATGTCGTTTCCCACCCAAATAGACAAATTTTGGGACATTGTTGCCGCTTTATGCATGCATAAAACATGAGTGTCTCAACACTGTCCTGTATGCCAGTGCAACAGCCCAGATCATCGCAAGATGCGTCTTTTCAGCACTGTCGCCTCGGTCTCGCAAGGTCTGGCGACAAGCGCAACATACAATGCCGATCACCAATGATGCGAAAGTAACGAACCTCAACGGCAAGGCCAAGTTCAACCGTTGTATATTGTTCATTTTGACAAATGTGTTTTCATTCAACTGAACAAGTTCGACCGATCAGACCACACACTGTGTGCAGCATCTCTATAACTGACCTGGTACGGTGTGACACGGCGAGGGAGCGGTGACGGTGACCCCGTGCCGACATCTGCCCCCGTCCTCCGGGGTGACCACTCCAGCGGAACTGCCGACGCCGCGCCACTGGCCAGGCTCCGCAGGAGACCAGCGGACGCCCTCCGATGCATCTGACGTCTCTGATGCCTCTGCCTCCACAGAAGACTGGTCTCGAGACGGTATGGGAGATAGTTCATGGTGGATTGACGTGCCCCAACTGACTTTGACATCAGGAGAGCTGCTGTGTGCTTGCGAATCCATTGGATGTGCGATCCTGGAGTAGAAAGGGCTGTGTGAGGTCACTCTACGGTTTGCATTCTGTGGTGACCATAAATAAGCAATATGTTCATCATTCACTATGCCAAAGTATTTCTTGTAAAACATCTGAACACCTCTTTTGCCAGAGCAGACAAAAAGTTTTAGTTTGACAAAAACATATCCTGTAATATTGTTTCAGAATATAGATCTGAATTGGAAGAAAATGCTCATTCAGTGCTTGCAACTGGGATTTAGAAAGAACCATGCTATTTAATATTTATGGAGAGATTTAAGTGCTTTTGTATTGCATGCGTCTCACATGCTGCCACCCGTTTGTAAAGTCGCTAGACTCCAGTTCTTGAGATATTTACACAAATCTCACTGTATGCTGCACATTGGTAGGTTATAGGTTTGCAGTTTGTAGTTTGTAGGTTAACAGGTAAGGTTAGGTCAGGTAAGATTGTTTTGTTCTGCAAGAGTCTTTGATTAGAGACTTTTATAAGCAAAATTCATGTAAACAGTAAACATCTTAAGAACTGGCAAGTGGAGAGTCTAGCAGTCTTTCACAAATGGGTGGCAGGATGTGAAACATTGCTATAAGGATACCAATTTAAAAATTTGATTGTTAATGCTTGCGCATGAAGAGCCTTACCGCTCATCCATTTTGGTAAATATTAACTTTAGGACTGACACACTTTTCAAAGGTAAATTTTACACATTCTTCCACATTTTGGCATCCTAAATCCAGATATAGGTATAGGTATAAGTATATAGATAATGGATTTCGGGTAGCGTAGCAGAATGCTATTTGTTGTCCATGTCATTATTGGCTGGGAAACATAAAAGGGTACTCAGTGAGGTTGGAGGTCACAACTGGCTTTGAGCTTGTGCTCTCAGATTCCTTTAGTTGGGTAGTCATATTCCTTCTACCCTGCAATTGGCTTCTTCTGATACATTTCAGGGGTTGTCATGGCACGTGCCATTGAAAAGTCAAGGGTGTTCAAGGCTCAAGCTGTTTTGCAAAATAGTGATTTTGGGTGGCTCATATCTCAGCAGCCGCTTGGGCGATTGTCCTGCTGTAATTTTTGTAGGGTAGCTGCATCCCTTCTACCAAATACTGGATGCTTTTCATCTATATGCCTGACCCCCATTGCATGTGCAAAATGCAAAAAAGAGGTGCCAAATTTGTTCCCATTTCAATAACTTGGTAAATACTGGGGCGGCTTCGCTGAAACTTGGCATACAGTTACAGGTAGGCACCCATCAGGCAATGCATTCCCAAATCCCATTTGTTGCAGTTAGGGTGCTACTGCATGTGCATACATGCAAGGGTTGCCTCCAGATCTTGAGAATGGCTGGGCCAATTGCACTCAAATTTGGTAGGTATACTGTTGCGCACCGGTTAGTAGGGTACCGTGCAAAAGTCCGTTTTGATCCCATTTGCACATGCGCACGTGCAGAATGTCATTTTCAGATCTCAGGAACGACTGGGCCGATTGCGTTCAAATTTGGCAAACCGCTAGGCGCTATACTGATACTCTGTTCCGTTTCAAGCTTGCAGCCGAAGTGCCCTGCTGAAAGCAGTGCATGATTTCTGTATATACAGCTCTTACATTTTAAGACGCAAATTCTTTAACGGAGGAGTGATCTGCCGAAGAAACTCCAACTGCAAGCTTGGTATAGAACAGACTATAGTGACCGGTTAGAAGGGTGCTTTGCACAAGCCCGTTCATAAGTACCCTCTCACCCTTCTGTTCCGCACGTGCAGGGCTCACTATCTCACTCGCTTGTTCTTCGCCCAAAAGGCGTTTTACTGGTTATAATAGTTGATGAAAATTGGCTTTACTGTCTCCTACATACACTGACATGTAAAAAAGTCCCACTCCTCCAACAAATCAAAATGACAACAACGACCTTGACCTTCGTCAAATATTCCGCTACTTCAAGCAGGGAGAAAATACATCTACCGGTGACACTCAAATTTCGGCCACTGATGACGTATTTTCTTCATTTTTTCTTTGAAATTACAGTAAAACAATTGAAATGTCAATAAGACTTCAATTTCAATAAAAACTATTGTTAAAAAGCTTGTATAAAAAAAATAGTAGTAAGCGTGATCAGCATGACATAAAATAATAGTACGTCACTTATACTTAAAGGTATTATCAGGGTTTTTTCCGAAATTTCGGAGTTACTCAGTGAAACGTGTAGATGAAGGTGGCTGAGGCCCCGATCCGAAGTCATTCGTCTCAAAATTGCCTAATTTCCTAATGGTGGGCCTCCAAAGTTGATCCGTCTGCCCAGGGGTAGCCAGTAACAGTTGGTAGCATTAGGCCAAATGGGCGCTCAAAAACTACTACCCCATAGGGTTTCCATGTTAAATGGACCTTTTTCAAGCGAGCCTCACACGTAAGCTAAAAGATAAAGTGCCAATATTATTGTGGGGAAAGGTAGCCTCAAGCTTCCTCTACAACCTTTTTATCTAGCGTTTTTCGATGCGGAGGCCATAACAGGTCCAAAAAGCATTGGGCGCTGCCCGAGGTACCAAAAGCCCCTCCATGAGAGCACTAGTTCCTGCGCATGCGCACATTGCCTCAACCCTGTACTAGCGTAAGTTAGCGATACTGCTCACGGACTCGATCAGCCAATGGACGTCCCCGAATACATTAATAGATGTCGCTAGCATTACGTAAATCCTGCTTGCGAACACATTTTAAGAATGAAACAGCTGCGCCATTTCCGCCTTCCGTAGATTCCTTCCATCTTAGTATCAACTATAGGCTTTTCAACTAACTTTATGCTAAGTTTTAAACTATGGTTAGTATGTTATTTCTGGTTCATATAATTTAAAAATAACTGCTTTATTAATTTGGCTTTACTCGTCAGAATGGAATACTCTATTTATTCCATATTCAAAAAATATATCACCTTCCATGTAACTCATCCAGATAAAATGGGCGCTTTCCGCGTCGTTGGTGTACCCGTTGTTCTATATACCCTGCGTCTGCCAGCCAGTACCTGGAGGAGGCAGTACCAAGTACTCGGATACATTTCCCTATAAGTCCATAGGCTTAACACTAGCTAGAGACTTCTAGAGATATTTTGTATGCCAGATAAGGCCGTCGCATACCAGATAAGGCCGCAATGGCCGTTCAACGTTACGTGGGGAAATTGGAGAAATCTAAAGACTTTTTTCTCTCTGACGTCTCCACTCCGCAACTGGCAAGCGTTGTTAGCATTGGCTCGTGTCGTCGTAAATAAGAGTTGTTTGACGGATATTCCGTTAGTTGAGTGTGTTGTTGTAATTTCTGAGGCTGTATGAGTTGGACGGAATGGCGCCATCCCGCCAAGTGCGAAATCGGCGGTGTAGTTTGAAGGGTTGTGGAAAAACAAAGGCTGATTGTCATTTGTCCCGATCTCAACTTCTTCCATGTTCCGAAAAACCGTGTCAAGTAAGTCCAATTTGAAATGCTGGAGATTGCGGGGCAGGCACTAAGTGAAAAACAGTTGCATATTTTACGAAATTGTATTAATATATGTTTTTATGTCAAACATGCACAAATGTAATGATCAAATGTTTGAAGTGTTTGAAGTGTTTGAACACACAAATGTTTGAAGTGTTACTCATACATCAAACAGTAAGGCGTACGAGTAAATTGTGTGGATGAAGTCTGAGTGGTCCGAGGAAAAAAATTCAAGCGAACTTGACCTAAGTCCTAATATTACCTATTACCTAATAACCTACTAAACTACAGCCTCCCACGAACCTACAACCTACATGCTTCAGCTTACAACCTACAACCTACAACTCGGAGTTCATCTACACATATAACTTAAGTACTCAATGTACTAGCTGTGGTTACTTGTTATCTGTTACTTGTACTGGAATGGCAAGCCTTGCAATTTTCCCAGACCTTTGATCACAAAGTCATGCTGTTTTTAGGAGACTTGGTTGGGTGGCTGTCCTAGAAGATGGCTTGGCGGACAAGCAGGTTGACGAAGCACTTGTGTGTAGCTGCCACTTCAACCCTCAAGATCTTTTGCTTGGAGAAAGGGCTAGAACGTCACCACATGCCGTACCGTCAATAGCAGTCGTGGAAGGTGGGTTTGGCATTTCCTTTGTAATTGAACTGGTTTTTAGCACAACTTGTAAAAGTGGCACGAACATTGTTACATTGAACACTTGATGTGATGTAGAACCTGATAGCTGATGTTGAGTCTTGCAAATTGTATGAACAGCAGCTGGTGCATTGAGCCTGACAAGTGACGTTGGCACCCTAGTAGTCTCGTGTTTGAGTGTGGTCACCTAAAAAACTTGTGTGTAACCAACCATAAAGTTTTTAAATATAATTTTGGGATAATATTGATGTGGTGTGTTTTGGTCATATGGCTTGGATGGTGACTACCACTAATTAAGGAATGCTTCTTCACGACAATCTCCAGTCTCCTGAAGCACCATCATCTATATTTTCTTCCCAGGGATTCATCCCTGAATCACAATCATTACCTAGGCCAGATAACCTTGCTGGGCCACATGGTCAAAACAGTTGCAGCTACAGGGTAGGTATACCAGCTGTACATGTATTTGACAGACTAAACATTCTTTCTGTACATCTGGACAGGTAAACTTGATAGGCGGCCGGCGCGCGCCCATCGGCACCGGCGGCCGGCGCGCGCCCATCGGCACCGGCGGCCGGCGCGCGACCATCCCATCGGCACCGGCGGCGGGCGCGCGCCCATCGGCACCGGCGGCCGGTGCGCGCCCATCCCATCGGCACCGGCGGCCGGCGCGCGACCATCCCATCGGCACCGGCGGCGAGCGCGCGCCCATCCCATCGGCACCGGCGGCCAGCGCGCGCCCATCGGGCACCGTCGGCGGGCGCGCGTCCATCGGCACCGGCGGCCAGCGCGCCCATCCCATCAGCACCGGCGGCGGGCGCGCGCCCATCGGCACCGGCGGCCGGCGCGCGCACATCGGGCACCGTCGGCGGGCGCGCGTCCATCGGCACCGGCGGCCAGCGCGCCCATCCCATCAGCACCGGCGGCGGGCGCGCGCCCATCGGCACCGGCGGCCGGTGCGCGCCCATCCCATCGGCACCGGCGCCGGCGCGCGCCCATCGGCACCGGCGGCAGGCGCGCGACCATCCCATCGGCACCGGCGGCGAGCGTGCGCCCATCCCATCGGCACCGGCGGCGGGCGCGCACCCATCGGCACCGGCGGCCGGTGCGTGCCCATCCCATCGGCACCGGCGGCGGGCGCGCGCACATCGGCACCGGCGGCCAGCGCGTGCCCATCGGGCACCGGCGGCGGGCGCGCGTCCATCGGCAGCGGCGGCCGGCGCGCGCCCATCGCCGGCGCGCACGCGCGCGCCCATTGCAGAGAGAGGTGATGTGATTGACCCTGTTGGCCCCCCCCTCCCCCACCCTCTGACCCGCCCGCGCGCCCCGACAGGTCGTCGTGTAGCGCGGCGCTCCGCCAGCTGCTGTGCTGGGGTTGGCGGCGCTCAGCAGCTACCAGCTGATGCAGCGCGCCGTGCTCGCTCGCCGCGGCGCAGTGTTTATAGCGCGTGCGCCGGGCGCTGACGGCAGTCGTCTGGCAGCGACAGCTCTGCCGGTGACGGCACACGCTGCTGCTGCAGAAACTGGACAAGGGCCTGCTTGGGCTCCTGGTCCTGGATCGGTACGCCGGCTCAGTCACCTGATGACGGCGGCGCACAGCGTGACCTACCCGCCCTACAGCCGGCCCAGCAGGGTGAGTAGTGAACTGAGTACTGAGTAGCGCTCAGAGTTAGCTTGAAGTTGTTTAACATGATGCACTGTTCTTCATGAGTCGTCCCCATCGCTGCTTGTGACTTGCAAGTTCCTTCTTTTTCGGCAGTGCGTCCCAGCAGCGATTTTCACCTCTGAGAAGTATAGTTGCCGTACTAGTGAAAAAGTGTATATCGTTGAAATAAACATTCCATTTCATCTGCCCACTACCACTAACGCCCCTCTGCCCTCTCCTGCAGCGGACGGGGAGACCCACCTGACCGCTCCTTCCCCCTGTTCTGCTGCAGGCGGGGAGGCCCGCCCTGACCTTCTTTTCTACCCTCTGCCCTCTCCCGCAGCGGACGGAGAGGCCCGCCCGGGCCCAGTGCCGCACGGAGAGGCGGTGGCGCTGGAGGCCAACACCCCGGCTCGCGACCTGTAGCTGACGGTGCTGGAGCCGCGAGTCACCGTGTTGGCTGGCCATGGAGACTTGGAAAAGGTGGGTCTCCGCGCAGCGGAGGAAGGGGCGGCGGCTGACAGTGGTGGCCGCCAACGGGGAGCTGGGCGGCGTGGGTCCATGCATAGCGGGGATGTTCGAAAGGACAGCATCAGCTGCATTGTTTGAAGAGCTGCTGCAGTTGGGCGTTGAGATATGATCGCAGACTTGCAAGGAGATGGGCTCCTGAGATGCGTGCTTTTTTTTTTTGCTCCGATGATCCGGCTGATCGCTGTTCTATGAGGTCGTATTACCCGCCCGCGGTCACCAGGCCGGGGAGGTATATACGTCTACAGCAGCTGTGTTATTCGTCTGTCCCGGTTGTATCACCCAGTCTTCCCCCGTCCTCAGGCCGGTGAGGTGCGTCTCCAGCTGCGCTGTCAGACGATCCAGTGGAACGAGCAGCAGCCCATGTACCCGTCCCGGCTGTGCCGGTGTGTCTCCCAGCTTGAGCGGCGCCGGCCGACCGCTGCGCTGCTCTACAACTGCCACGTCCACACATGATGCACGGTCAGTCATTATACCGAGTAATGCTAATTATAACCGCGGGTGTTTTGTTAGAATGGCCCTGAGAGTGTGCCTTTGTTGTGTGATTATTGTTGAGTGCGTTTTCTAGTTGTGAAGTACACTGTGGTAGGCTCGACATTACTACTCATTAGAAGTGGCGGGAACACTGCCCCAATGCCCTATTGTCGATTGGAAATGAAAAACTACAGCCGCGGCTCCTGACTGTATCCCTTTTCCCCGTGCGCCCTATCGCAGGTGACGGCTGACCAGGCGGTGCTGGTCTCGACCGCGGCCGACGGCCAGCCCGCCCAGGAGCACCAGGTCGCCTCGCCCTCCTCAGCCTCGGTCTACTGGAAGGCGCTGCTGGCGCCGGCCCTGTGGGCCGGCTCCCAGCACCCGCTCACAGAGCAGGTGTGCCACGCCGACTGGCTGCACTGCGCCGACGACCGGGGGACCGCCGGCGCTGAGCCGGCCGGCTCGCAGCTGGACCTGCCACTAGAGACGGACCTGTGCGACCTGGACGTGCGGCTGTGTCAGACCGGCTGGTGCTGGGCCGGCGCCGCCCGGTGCGCTGTCAGCTGGACGGGCGACGGCCGGCCCGTGCTGGCCGCGCCCCAGGCGGCCGACGCGCCGGCTCCCGGCGGCGGCGGCGAGCGGGCGGTACGGGCGCTGCTGCAGCTGCCGACAGCTGCCGCCGCCGCGGACAGCTGCCCGCTGCTGGTGGTCGTCTCCGAGCCGGCCCTGCTCTGCTGGCAGCCGGCACTGCTGCTCTGGCTGTCCCTGGCCACTCAGCTGGCCAGCAGCTGAGTGGCCCGGCGCCGCCGCCACTACCCCAGCCGCCCGAGCCGCCGCCGCCGCCGCCATGGATGTGCCCCGGCCGCAAGGACACTCGGGTACCTCGCGATCGGCACGGAGCCACACCACGGAGAGGAACCTACCCGCAGTGTCACCCAACACCTCCGCTGCGGCGGCCGTCTCCCCCACTCCGCCGGCGCCGCCCGCCGCTCCGACTTTGGCCTGGCTGCCGGCCCTGGAGCGTCTGGAGGTGCGCCTTCAGATCAGCGCGGTCACCGTCACCGTTCCGGCCGGTCCAGAGAGCGGCGGCGGGGCGGCCGGGGACGCGGAGCGGACGGCGGACCCGCTCCCGGCCGCGGCCGGCCACCACCCGGCGCCGGTACCGGGCCGGGTCCGCAGCAGCAGCGACTCGGGCCACCGGTACTGCCTGCACGGACAGCTGGTCTCTGTGCTGCCGTCAGTCCGACTGGACAGCGCTGCGCTCAAATCGGCCGCCCTGCCGACAGTGCCGGAGGTGCCCGTCCGACTCACCAGACCTTCAGCGGCCGCAGGTCAGTCGCGGCCGCCGCACGGCCAGCTCATACCGGCCACTGAGGAGGGCTTTTCCATAAATCTCAGTGCTAGTGATTTTGGCATTGGCATGGGGGCGGGTATTGGTACTCACTACTCACCCTGCTGGGGCCGGCTGTAGGGCGGGTAGGTCACGCTGTGCGCCGCCGTCAACAGGTGACTGAGCCGGTGTACCGATCCAGGACCTCAATTATGATTATAAGTAAAACGGGATGTAGGGATGAAGTCAGCTTGTGCTCAAGACTGACGTCATGACAATCGACACGTGAATATAACGGGCATGTTTGCTCCTTGCTGTCGTGCGGGCGTTCGAATCTCTCCCAGTTTGTTGGCCCGTGTCTCTCTCCTGTCCCCCGGGTCTCTCCGCCGGCTGACTCCGCTCTGTCTGTTCCAGCCGGCTCCCAGCTGCGCTCGCCGAGCCAGACGCAGCAGGTGATGTCGCCGTCGGTCGTGGTGCGCGACTGTGCGTCCATCCCGTGTCCAACGCCCCCCCCCCACACCGCGCGCTGCTGCCGGGCCCGCCGTCGTAGTTTTATGGCCTTGCGCCGTCAGTCGCCAGCTGGTGGTGGCGACCCGTGATCGCTCGCGTACGTTCGCCGGCGCGCCCATTGCAGAGAAGGGGTTCGCGCATGCCCATTGTAGAGGGGCGCGCCCCTTGCGGAGGCGGTACGCGCTACGCTGTAGACAGTAATGCTTGTTGGGTAGCCCCTTTGCACATTGTTTGTTCATGGATGTAAATACAAGTTACATGACTGATGAGTGTAATGCTTACATTTTTGAACTAAGAAATGCCACAGGGCAGGTTACCTTGGTGAGTTTCTGATATCAACATACTGAACATAAGAGCAGAATAATTATCCATAGAGCGTTAAGGATTTTAGCCACCGAATTCACCAGTCAGTAATTGCACATGGTGGCACCATGAGCATGAGTACCTCGCCTTGTCCGATCCTTTTCACAACTAGCAAGTAGAATGTGGGAAAAGGCAGGGAACTTCAAAGCATGCGCATATGTAGATAGCTGATGATTCTCTCTGTTCAAGCACGATCTGGCACTCTGCAGTCTGTTCTGTTCAACATGAGTTGCCGGGACAGCATCACACATGAATTTCTGCATGCTTCAAACAGAAATGCCTTAATTTTCCTTAAAATATATTCATTTTTCACACAAAGACAACAAAAATGTACATGGAGGTGGGTACTGTGGCAAGAAATTACATACAAATGTATTTTGCCATGTAGGTACCCTCCTTTCACATCACAATCATCAATCATAATTAAGAGCACCAAGACGTTCTTTGCGACTTGCGAGCCCAGCCGTGTCAGACCAGCTGATGCAGGGGCTCTGTCACAGGGGGCACAAGGCCCAGTGGTTATGTCACAGCACAATGTTGTACAACCTGCTATTCAAGAACACTTAAATCTTGAAAAACCTGTAGCTCTCTTGTCACCTCACTTTTCGCACTCTTGACAAATCACTAATCAGTCAGATCAAGACTGAAAATTGAAGAGGATAAGCTCTTTTGTGGGATGTACTTGCAGTTTCAATTCAATGACATAAATTACTCGAAATTACCATTTAGATTGTACTGTACCATGACGAATCTACCATTGAAAGAAAATTGTATCATGACCCTGCTATAAAAAAACTGAAACAAGCTCCAATTGCATACCTATGATAAATTTGGCGATGTTTATAAATCTTGCTGCCTTAGACAAGCAAATCTTCAATTTGTTTCAATTTCAGTCGAGTTCTTCACCAAAAATCCATCGTATATCGACAACCAATGCCTATCACCGAAATCTTGTAGAAATCCTCAATCCCGCAAAATTTCGCAAGGCCGCTCTTTGTTTACATTATAGTGATGGGCCAATCTGACCGCTCAAGTACTTGTTTTGCGGGAGTAAGTACATTTTTGTCGTTTTTCAAACGGCTATAACTTGCAAAGTATAGCATCAATAGGCATTTTATGTATATCGTTGAAATCGGCAGAGTCTGGAGACTTAACTGGTAGGCAATACATTCCGATTCCTTTCAATTTTTAAACCCTGATAATCCCTTTAAGGGGAAAGAAACATCGAAATTGCTAGAAGCGTAGATGGCGCTTCTGTGACGATAAGCAAAGAAACCGGTCGTATGCTTTCAATTTTATTCGTCTCAACCCTAGTTGCCCAGCAACCTACTTAAAGTTTCCATTTGCAGTCACGTATCCCAGCAACTGGTAGTGTTTTTTACATTTGCTCTGGTACTGTGTCTGTTTTCGAACACGCATAGAGTAATTTATTTCGCTTCTGTCGGAAGTCGGCCAGTTTGTCGCAAGTTTGTCGTCGCCGTGCAGCGTGGTCGCCGGGTCGAGTATTTTCCTAGGTCAAGGCAATAACTTTGAAATTTTTTATTGAAGGTGTAAAAGCTATATGGCATCCTTAAACTCATTATCATTATCCGCGATACATTGGTGCAGTGCAGGAGTGTGGAGTCATAAGTTCCGTATTCCAACACCCTTGGCTGGAGCCGGAACTTAGAACTTTGGTCCCCATCGTGAGACTTTTGTCTATTCAGTATGGTATTATTGATTATATGATATTTAATACTTCCATTTAAACCTTTAAATCGCTATGTAAAATTTGGGGACATTAAAGGAAGTTGTTCACTTTCCTGAAATTAGTTTTTGCATTGGATTTATGATTTTTTATTCCAAAAATGATCAGCAAAGAAATATTCTCTTTATCTTAACATAGGGAGAACTATACTCCTTATAGAATATTGTTTGACACGGCAGCTTATTACGTGTTGACCAATCATGTTGCATTGTATAAACCCATTGGGCATTGGCTTTGTAAGCAGCATGCTGATTGGCTGACAACAATGTGGCTGCATTCCTCAGTAAGGCACGCATTCCTCTGCAAGGCGCCCTTTTCAGAACAAGAAATGGAATATCTTCATCTAGGGTGATTGTTGGGCCATAAAAGCTTCTGACTTGTGCTAGTCTCAGCTCAAGCTACAAAACTGCTATTCCAGTTAAATTTCCTATGTTAAAAGTGAACTATTTCCTTTAATCATGTCTCTGCATCATAGGTACATTGAGTCAACTATCAACTGAAACCTTTCTACTTACTGCTCCATTTTTTTAATAATGAGGCTTAGGTTGGGTAGATTAAAGTAGTTAAGTTAAAGGTTTCTGCACTGACCTTTTGTCTATCTCTGAAGTCTCAGTAAAATGTTCAGGCTTTGAGTGCCAGCCGCCAGGTCTGCAGGTTCAATGGATTTTTTGGTAATTCCATCCCAGACTCTGACTCTGGTCTCCAAAATTGATTCCAACTCTAACTGGTCTCTGACTAACCCTGGCTCTAACTCTGCAATCCTGATAAAAGCCCATTTTTTTCTACAGTTATATCCAATGTGCTTTTGCTATCTGTGCTGGTGTTACCATGAACCATATCACCACTCTCCCCGCAGAAGCAGCCTCAGACCTCGCATCATCTCACAATGGGTGAGCAGACAGACAGCGAAGCTCCGGCTCCGGCCGCGGCCGGCTACGTGCCCGGCCCCAATGCCATCGACATCTCCGGAGATGGCGGTGTCATGAAGGAGGTTCTGCGCGCCGGCACCGGCGACGACCAGCCCCAGTCTGGAGACAAGGTGTTCGTACACTATGTGGGCACCCTGGCCAGCGACGGATCAAAGTTCGACTCTAGCCGAGACCGCGGCGACAAGTTTGACTTCACACTCGGCGAAGGTATGTAGATTGTGGGTGTTGTGTTGTTTTGCAATAATAGTCGCATGTAACAATCGTTTTGTTGTTATAACTGTCATGGGCTTGAAATCATCTAGGAAAAGCGAGTTAACAGTCTTCATAACTTTGATCCTACAAAATGTACGTCTACAGAGTCCAGCAAATGTTTTGCCATGTACCAATTTAATAAACTGACTAAATTAAATGCGTGGTTGATAATATATGCCCTCATTAAGTTTATTGCATAACTTAACGGTTTTCTTTTTATCATTTTACGACCTTTAAATATAGCATGATTAGACTCTTGTCCACGTACTCCTGTAGCCCCGTCTAATTTTTACGTCTTCTTGTTCAACAGGCCAGGTGATCAAGGCCTGGGACCTGGGCGTGGCCACGATGCGTCGGGGCGAGCTGGCGATGCTGACCTGCCAGGCCGAGTACGCGTACGGCGCCAGCGGCAGTCCGCCGCGCATCCCGCCCAACGCCACCCTCTGCTTCGAGGTGGAGCTGTTCGATTGGCGCGGAGAGGACCTCAGCCGCAAGAAGGACGGCGGCATCGTGCGCAGACAGGTGGAGAAGGGCGCCGGCTTCGACACGCCCAACGACGGCGCCACAGTCGAGGGTGAGTGGCTGGGGAGAGAGGGGCGTTGGAGGACCGTGGTGTGAGGCAGTGGACAGTAGACGGAGATTTGAAATGCCGCAGGGACTCTCTTTCAGACTTTCGGAAGAAAGTAGTTTGTTATAGGACAAGGCATGAGCAAAATGGAAAAGAAACATTATTCGTTTTTCCCCTAAACCGCTTTTACTATCTCAGATTGGGTCGCCATGTCTAGAACATGATGGTCATTGCCGTTTTGCTATTAACTGCAACCTTGCATGAGAATGCGATAATGCAGTGTCCCAAAATTGAGTTTTGTCTTGGGTGTCAGAGGGGAAAATTACCCATCAAAAAGAGGGGAGAGAGTGAAAAACTGCTGATTCGATTAGATCCAAACAAGAGTGAAAAACGACAAAAAACATGCATTTTATTCTAAGGTGTAGGATGCTTGATGCTAAACCGGGCATCCACACAATTGCTCTTTCTTTAGGTAAAAATATAGGTTTTCTTGGTTGGGAGTGGAAAATTGTTCTTAAAAATTGGTGGTAAGAGTGGAAAATGAATTTCATTTGGATGTCGTTTCCCACCCAAATCGACAAATTTTGGGACATTGCGATAATGCATTTGCTTTTGCCACAACACGCGGGCTGTTTTCGGTAATTCCCGGCGAGTTCGCTGGATGATGACACCGGTGGACTTGATACTCCCCCTGTGCTGACAGTCTAGCAGGGCGAAATCGTTTTGACACTCCGTGCTCGCCTTCTGCAAACCACTGTCGGTGTAGATAGTATTAGGGGCGTCGCTTTTCAATCACCTCACCTCCCTTTCCTTTCTTGGAGGATGTGGATGCGGAAATAAAATAATCATCACTCCGCTCCCACAACTGATTCTGCCTTCCGGCCACCATATCCGGCTCAGTCGTCGAATAGCAACGGCCTGTATTGCCCGTGCGTGAACCTCAGCACCGCACTTTTTCCTTTCCCTCCAGGGGCATGGCGATAACTTAAATAATGAGCAGCATGCTAGTCACTGTACGCGGCCGTCAATTGTGACAAGTTTACAGGCGATATTCCCTCACCTCCTCCACAAAGTGCATCACCTCCACTGCTTAGGAATGTTTAACATTATTTTAACTTATCTTATAAACATCGCTTTTAATGTCGTATCCTGTGCGTTTTACACATTTGTTTTGCGTTTGTGAATTCAGCCGAGCTGATGTCTCTGCCTTCCACCGTTTTCAGTGTCGCTGAGCGGCAGCCTAGACGGCCGCGTGTTCGACGAGCGTGAGGTGACGTTCGTTCTGGGCGAGGGCAGTGAACACGGCATCTGCCCCGGCGTCGAGGAGGCGCTCGAGAAGTTCAAGACGGGAGAGCGCTCGCGTCTGACACTGACTGCCCCGTATGCGTTCGGCGACGACGGTCATACAGAGTACGGCGTGCTGCCCGGTGCCACTGTTCAGTACGAGGTCAAACTGAAGAGCTTTGAAAAGGTGAGACTGCAGCAGAGCTCACGCTGGAGCGAAAGAGTGATGGCACTGATCATCCATCGTTGATGGTTCCGTTCGTAATTACACAGCTACACTACACTGGATACACTGGTTATGCATGCTACATTCTCAATATGGTGCGGCACGTCTTCTCGCCATGCACAATAAGTGAAATTTCATCGATCTGCTCAAGTCTCTGCTCTGATATCCAATACAAAGGGCGTCACTCTGGTTATTCCCCGTAGCCGACCTTTCTCAGAAGCCGTCTGTTTGTTTGTAAACTGGTTCACCCTTGTTTGCTAACCGGCTCTGACTGGTGAGCTGGTGCCGTCCTGACGGACCCTCCGATAACCGGTCATCTCATCCATATTCATCACCGATTCAGACGTGATGATGGACCAACGACCGGGCGAGGACCGCTAAACGTGCCTGTGGGGTTTCTGCTGCGCAATCCGTTTGCAGTCTTAAATTCAGACAGTGCTAAGATCATGATATGGTTTTTGGGCGCCGAACCAAAGGATCCGCTGATAGATCGTCGATAGAATGGAAACCCGTCCTTCGATTCGCTTCCCTCCGCAGTGAAAGTTGTCGACATATCGTGCTCAATGTCGGGAGCAGCTCCAGTGCCAATCTACATGAACTCTGTTGACTCTCTGCCGTTCCCCGGATGTCCCCAGGCCAAGGAGCGCTGGGAGTTTGACGCCGCTGGCAAGCTGGAACAGGCCAAGCTGTACAAAGAGAAGGGCACCAACTATTTCAAGGCCGGCAAGTTCCAGCTGGCCGAGAAAAACTACAAACGCTGCGTCGAGTTCCTCGAGTTCGAGACCAGTGAGTAAAATGTCGCGACGGTCACCAGGAATGTTTGAGTTTGGGGGCGAGTAGGTAGTGGGAGCAGGAATCAGGACGTTTGTCGGGTTTGGGAGATCTGACAGGGACGCTTTGCATGTTCAAAATCAAGCAACTTATGTTTTGGTGTTCCTGGGACAGAACCGTGTCTTATCCATTATACTCATCACCCTCTTTCGTTCCGTATGTATCGAAAACTTTGGATAACACTGTCAGAGAGATATTGGCGTTCAACTTCAAGCAGTGTGACCCAGCTCCACTGAAGTCCGACCTCCGCTCGGAGCTACCCACCAAAATTACTTTCCTACTCCCCACCGCCACCCATCGCTCACCCAACCCGTCCGTGCGCGTCCCGCCAGGCTGGTCGGAGGAGGAGAAGCCGTTGGCCAAGGAGGTGGAACTGGCCGGCCACCTCAACCTGGCCATGTGCTACATCAAGCTGACCGACTACGTCCAGGCGCGCGCTCACTGCGACAAGGCGCTGGAGATCGACGCCAACAACGTCAAGGGACTCTTCAGGAGGGGACAGGTGGGTTCAGGGAAAGATGTGCTTCGGCGAAAGTAAAGGAGTATTGGTTTATTCAGTAATTGTGTAATGTGTTATCTTTCTTGTCCAGTTGAACGCCGAGCCTGCCAATCGATGGAACAGTTAATGATTCAAAAATGGATTGTCTGTCACCGCCGGTCAAACAACGGCTACATACTTTAATTCTGCGACATGCTCGGCCCTATCGGTGTTTTTTTCACTTTCTCTCGCCCTTGTGCCTGAGAAGTTTAACCGACACCGTGTCCCGCTCCCCAGGCGCTGGCTAAGATGAACGAGCCGGAGCTGGCACGGGCCGACTTCCAGCGCGTGATACAGCTGGACCCGCAGAACAAGGCGGCCGCCCACCAGGCGCAGATCTGCGCACAGCAGATCCGCGCCGCTAAGGCACACGAGAAGAAAATCTATGCAAACATGTTCGAGCGGCTCTCGAAAATGGAGGAGCGTGTGAGTGGACCGGGAAGGGTAAATTGAGGTGACTGGATTGTACGCTCATAGGATAGGCAAATCGATTTAATGGGTTCCGGTGGCGCTTGATGTGAATATGCTAGTACTTAAAACTTAGAATGATGACGCTGAGGCTCCCGAATACCCAATATTCGTTCGCCTCAACATTTGTCCTCCCTCTCCTCATCCTGCTCATCAATCTGGTAATCTGGTAGGTATATTTGTGAGTTGTTTCCCTCGCGCTAACTCCAACCGGTTTCCGTCACAGGAGTCGCCCGCCAAAAAGAACGAGGACTTCCAGATCGGCCACTTTGAGAAGAGCGGCGAGTCGGCGCCGGCCGGTGACGCCGGAGACGCGGCGCCCGCGGCACCGCCGGCCGACACGGAGGAGGCCCCCGCCTCGTGATCTCGCCCTGCGCGGCCGTCCCCGCCCTACCACTAGTCGCCGCGCGCCGGCCGCCGCCGCCGCCCGCCCGCCTGCCAGGGCGGCGGACCATCCGGCGGCCGGGACCCGGCCCGCCGCCGGGCTGCTCCAGCCCCGCGTCTGACCCGCTCCGGCCGGCGGCGCGCCTCCCCTCCCCGCCCGCCCCAGCTGCCGCCCCTGTTCCGCCTTCCGCTTGCTCTCGTCTTGCCCGTTGGTTGCGCAGATCGACTAACGCCGCCGGCGCGGCGGCGGTCTCGGCAAATCACTCATAGTGAGGCAGAAAGACTCGGAGTCGGCCTTTTGTTTCTTGTCCATGTGTGTGAAGCGTACGATTAAATAAATACATTCCGGTTCGCATGGCCCGTGTCCGATTGTGACTGAGATACAATTGACCAATCCGCCCGTCACCTCCGGTTATTGTCCAACCCCGAATCGCCCGGCGCATTCCCTCGTCGCCTCAGTCACTTTCATCGGACGAAACCCCGTCCGTCGCGCCAGTAAATAGATCGTGATTCATGACAGAAAGCTCGGAGACTTCGCCGCGTCACAAGCTCGACCACCAACAACGATAAGGATAAACATCTGTGGCTTGAACGACAGGTTATAGAAGTAGATCATTCCAGCGCACCACCCGGACGACAGCGATATGTAATCCCAGTCTCCCCGGGTGTGCTCAGTTCCCACTCTCTTTCGGAGAAGTGTCCTCAGAATGCGTCTCTGATGTTCTTCAGTTGCCGTACGGCCAGGTCCTCCGGCAGCGCGAACCGCAACTTCTCCAACCGGGCCAGGCACTGCAGCCCGTCGTCAAAGCCTGTGGCAGACGGGAGTGCATAAGATATTATAGGGGCAGGCATGCGCCAAAACTACAAAACGGCTACAGTGGCCGGGTTCTGGCCCTGGGTAGCTCCCGATTTACCTAGGCAGAAGGGTAGCAGAACAGTGAACTACGGGTATTGTCATCTGATCCAGTAAAGCTGTTGAAATGTAGCGAGGGATCCACAGATTCCTCGTCTGTGAATGCTGAAAGCTTGCAAGTCTGCAAGATGCTCTTCGTTAGCAATTATCACTCCTGTCACCTAACGACAGAAAAGCAGCATTTCCGAACTATGGTTCTAACTGGTTTCCGAACTACTACTGAGAATAAATCAACTACGATTGTGAAACTGTGCTAGTTTACAAATCATCGAGCCACCCGAACTACACTTTGTACGGCTAGCCGACCTCACCTGTGCTGACGACGTAGCTCCAGGGCTGGTAGTACTCCTCCGTGATGGCCTGTGTGGTCAGGATCAGACGCAGCCACGAGCTCAGCTTACGGGCGCTGCAGGGGAAGCAGGAGGGCGTCAGTGCTTACCGGGTGTTCGGACACGTGCTGTCACAGAGCGAGAAGACGTTTGCCGTTCGCCACGTAAGAAACAGTTGGTGGTTACGTTTTTTTTCACATTCTAGCCATGGCACGTTGGCATATGGCGATAGCTATTACGAGTATTCGAAACCATTGAATTTCATTACGAGAATAGCTATTACGAGTATTCGAGACCATTGAATATTCGAGACCAGTGCTATCCACACCACGATAAGTCACGACATAATATGTCTCCTAGCGACACTAACTTGAGCCCGGCGCAGACGAAGGCCTTGAAGTGGGCGTCAGCCGACCTTTTGAGCGGCGTGTGACTGGCGATAATGTTACCAATGGCGCTCAGCAGCGTCTGAAAGAGTGGCGCATACCAGGTCGGAGCATATATGTATCATACAACACCTCTGAGCACGGACAACAGATAGAAAAAGAAGAACTATAAGAGATAGCAATTTGGTATCATGTCTGGAAAAAATTAACATCTACGTCAGAGACGACTACAAAGGGTTGGCTGCCAAGGCGTAGGGAGAACACCGAAGAATCAAGGGCTCCACAAGTCGTCTGCGAACAAAGTAATCATATTTCGTATCGGCCATAATTGAGTCTCATTTGAGCGTGAAAACCGTCCTCTACCCGTTTTGTACGTACGTGTTTGCTGGTGATGGCCGTGCCGCCGACCACCGACAGGCCGAAGCTCTCAGAGAGCCGACGCTGCGGCGTGGCGTTGTACTGGTGACCCCGTTTGAGGCGGTAGTAGACCAGTATCAGGTCCCAGGCGTGCAGCAGACGCGGTGCCGACTGACGGGACGGCAGGCAGCCGGCGAACGGAACCACCGAACGGCTCTTGCTCAGCTGAAGTGGTGGGAGGAGATGGGGTAAATGACGTGGCAGCACAAGATAGCAAGGTGTTACCGCTGCTGCCTGCTGCTGGCTATTGATCAGCTTGCAAGGTTGATGCAACACAGTCGAGGCTTAGGTATTCAGGTGAGCAGTGAGCATAGCATCAAGCTGAGCGTGGAATCGTCGGAATGAACACATCATGCTCAAGACTCGTATCAATGCCTCGAAATATGTGACCCGAAATTATTTATCCTCAGTCAACAATTGACAGAACCCCTATTCGTGCCCTATTCAATCAAGTATTACCGTGCGACGTAACACCAGTCCATCTTCGCTCTATCTCATCGTAAGCCCATCGTATCTCTCAGACTCTCTCCCTCTCTTCCCTGACCCTCCGTACTTACCTGAAGGAGTCCGTGCTGCATCAGATCCCGGAGTGCCATGGCCAGCTCTCTCCTCACGGCCAGGGTCAGACGGTCCCCGGAGGCGGCCGGAGGTCCCGCGGCGTCCGAGTCGTCTGTGCCTCTGTCCGATATCTCCTGCTGCTGACGGAGGGACTCGCGCGCCAGCTCCGAGACGGCCGACACGGCCAGCTCCAGGCGCGCCCGCAAGTCACTGGTGGGGGCGGGGTAGGAGCAGGTTACAGCACATCAGAGTTGGAAGGCAGGGTGTGGATCAGACGGCGGTTAGAGAGCGGGTTAGGGGTTGGGCAGAGTAAAGACCGGGACTCAGTTGGTAGCGATTGCTGATTGCGATATAAAATATTCGACAGAAGAGAACTACTAATACGACACACCATGTATAAAGAGCGCAGACAACCGCGAAAAAACGCCTCAATATTCGAAGAAATACTTTGACAGCTTGCTAAAAATCAAATGTTCAACAAGCAAGTGACCACTGATGTTCTTTGTCATACAAAATGCAGGGCCATAATTCCTTTGGTTGATCCAATGAGGATACCGGTGAATACACGATCCCGTCAGTCCTGTAAACACGCACCCCCAGTGGTTGCCTCGCGGCGTCTTCTTGAGCTCGTTGCTGGAGAAGCGGTGCGAGTGTCCACCGCAGCCAAACTGCGTCAGCGTCATCAGCTGCAGCAGCGTCAGCGCCCGCCTCATCATCGAGCTCGTCTCCTCGTGAACGCTCTGAGGGGAGACACGCTCAGGATGAGGTCCAGAGGTCGGTTACACAGGGGCGAACAAAAACTTATGCCAAAGGACGCATGTGTGAGTTTCGGGAAGCAGTGTCATTACAAATATTACCACGATCACGAGCATTACACGATTAAAGGTACAATATGTTTTACATCACATAGGCACATATGACATAATGAACATTACTGGTCATTTAGACCGCTTTGTAAACAAGCAAGAGTCCCGTCAGTGTTTCGCAGTCTCTCTGTTCTCGCTTCGCCAAGTCCCACCTCTGACCTAATATTTGACAGTACCTCACGTCCTAGTCTGACCTAATGTTTGACAAGGTACCGTCTCTAACCAGTGCGGTGTTTGCCAGTGTCCCGTCTCCGACCTGCAAGTATTCGCCAATGTCCCGTATTTGTCGTGGTATTTGATAGGTCTTCCTCGCCTCTGACCTGGAATTTTCCGCTCCTGTGGTGTCGAGACGAGCGCCTCCTCAGCCGGGGGCGCTGACTGGACGAGTCTCCTGCCGCGCCACTATCGTCTCCAGAGGTGGACACTGCGCCGCCAACGCCGACGCTGCGCCGACAGCTGCCGTCACAGCCGCCATCCTCAGTCTCGCCTGGAGAAAAGATGGTTACTGTTAGATGGTTTATGTCCCGATAAATAGGGAATTTAGGAAATTGATGAGGTAATACTACAAAAAGTAGGGTATACAAACCAAATAGGTAGGTACCATCATCAACGCAGAAAACGTTATGAGCCAAACAGCAGCAAATGGAGAACGAAAATGTGTACAACTTCGTGAAAAGTATTTCATACGAGCCAAGTTGGAAAACCGAAACAGGCTGCACAGTGCACATAGCGGCATCCTGACAAAATTGGTCAGTTGCAAAGAGCTATTTAAAGTAGACATGCCAAGGCCGTGATAAAAAGTATAAAAGAGAAAATTCATCACACCACTGAGAAAGACTCAAAATCAGTGATGCAGCTCACCTCAAAGCCAGACACAAATCATCGAATAGAAAGACGCATCACGCGAAACGTTTACGTATAGTCGATGTGGCGCAACCAAATACGATAGCCACTGAAGGTAGCTAACGATAAAAAAACAGCAAAAAGAAGAAAACGACTTGAAACGCCCATCTTTAATATATCTGCGGCAGAATCACACATGCACAAAGCCAACAGCAGACAACCAACTTACCAAGCAGTGTCACAACTTAAACAAAAAATAGCAAAAGTCATTGCTGGCCCACTAAAAAGCAACAAAACGCACGAAATCATCTTTGGAATTTCCATGCCTGCCAATAGTCACAAACAACGAAACAAAAGCAGGAAACGCTCTAGCCATGAAACTTGGGCTAGTGACAACGCCAAAAGCTGCAAAAATGGAACGGCAAACGGGAACAGCATTCAACAGCGTTACCTTGCAGAAACGATATGAACCTCTCCAGATCCTGAACCTGTGTTTTCAGCTGATTCACCAGCTGCTCCTTCATTTTGAGCGGATTGATCAGCTGAACGGCGCGAGGCATTTGAGTGGGTTAGTGGGTTAAGAACCAGAGCAGAGCGAGCAAGTAAACCTACATCACCATACCAGATGTGTTACGGACGTGTTAATTTATTAAGAAGGGATTTGGGCTTTGGGTCGTGTTAGTTAGAAATGTTAGTCACATGATTCTCAGTAGCATCGTGAAGTGTTTTTCATCACTGAGACACACCAAATGTACAGTAAGTTACGATAAACGTCAGTTAAAAGCGAGGGTCCGGATTCGAAGAAGTCAGTGATCGTTGATCGCATTAGAAAATGGATAGTATACTCCTGATTACCCATTGATGCTTTCCACACACCTGTCCCACGGCGCAGTCCACCAGGCTCTTCAGGTCCTCGGAGGTCATACGGTCCAGGTTGTTCAGGTCGATGTTCAGCTTCCCCTTCAGCTCGTCTGCAAATAGTCGCCAAACCATCAGTGACAAGTTGACAACCGTTCATCGAAATGCATGAAAAATCGTCACACGGGAGGCTGGATGGGCAATATTAAGTTTTTCAGAGTAGAGATATGAATGAATATAAACATATCTTTCATGTGATGCCTACAACACACTAGATGACCAGACGAATCATTATACACAACGTCCTTAGCTGTTAGCAAGATGGCTCAAACTGTCGGGACATACCAATGATGACGCGCTGTTTCTCGAGTACGACGCTAGATGGCAGTCCGGCCTCGCCAGTCTCGTAGGCGTAGTGTTCGAGGTCCTCCAGCTGTGTCTTCAGCTGCTGCATCAGATCCCGCTGCTTGATCCGCTGCGTCTCCACCAGCTCCTGATGCTTCCATTCGTTCTGGGGGCCAACAGCGTAATGACACAGTGCTAATTAGTGATGTCAATTACAGAAAATTGGAATACCTATACCAAACCAAATACCAACCAAAACCGTGAGGAAATACCGAAACCGAACCAACCTTGGAACATGAGGCAAATACCAAATTTATACCAATTTTTCAGCCTCTTATACATAAGTGAGGGTTCATAATACCAACAAAATACCAAATATATTAGGACTGAAATACCAAATACCAAGTTGGTATCGGTTTGGTATCGGTATACCAAAAGGTTTGTATCCGATTGACATCTCTAGTGCTAATAGATGATAATAATCAATTAGCCAGGTCGCCAAATTATGACTACCAAGCAGTACAAACTGGATTTCCGGTCGAACGAACTGAATCGTCACAGTGCATCACTGACGACCGTCTCCCCTAGTCTCGTCCTTATCCTTTTATCCCATCTAAGAAACCCTCCCCAATGATCCCCAATGAAACCCTCCCCCGATTTTATTAGACCAAAGATAAGGGCCAACAAACCAAGCCAACCTTGGATACCATCCAAGACTTATCACAGAACATAGCAAAAAAAGTTACATTCAGCCCCGGGCAGTCCCGTCCTCCCAGCCCTGGTCACTCACAGTCAGTTCCTGTTCGTCATCCTCGTCCAGCTTGTACTGACGCACGTCCGGGATGCCGCGGAAGGCGAACGTCTCGAGCTCGCGCAGCAGCTGCTCCTTTTCCTCGCCGGGCGCCTCCACGATCTGACGCAGCCGAAACTGGACCTGCGGTAGAAGTGGGGAAACGAGAGTGTGAACGTGTGCACAGAACACATTGGATAACATATCAGAGAAGTAAAACTGAACCATGATGGTCATGTGATAGTGGAAAATGTAAAACATTTAACAAACAAACCATTTGATGGCTCAAAATATGCGGAACGTCGGAATGACTCCTCGGAATAAGAGGATTTCGAGATCGCATGAGCATTGACACACGCGCATTTTAGCATTCGTCAAACTGACCCATATCGACGTCACAAAAAAAAACAATGCCTTCGCTAAAAAAAAAAAAAACGTACGGTGATTAATTCTGAACACCCATAAAACGTTCATTACTCGGGAAGAGCTGTTGCTTCGTACCGTTTACTACATATCTGGCGCTAATGGTTAGCTTATATTACTGACAATAGATGGCGCCAGTGGTCTACGCCTGAAGGTATGCTGTACCGCACTACTCTATCGAGCATCGGGTATAGATGACGCTAGTAGCAAACTCGCGCAGTTACATCGGCATAGACTGCCCTCCCCTAAAAATCGGCTACGAAAGGGAAATGCGAAGAAACTAGAACGGTGGCAGATAAACATACGTGATATCTTATACACCATAACCGGAAGTAGCTGGCAAATAATGGGGTGAACGGTCATGACTTCATGGACCCTTTTCACGGTCTTGACTGTCTAACTTCACAGTTCATAAAATCATAAATCCGAAACTTCCTAGCGACGATGAGCCGCCTACCTGGGCAAAGTGTGTGGTGAGTGCCATCAGCGAGTTGTTGAGGTGCTCCTGTTCCTCCTCCAGTTTCCGGAGCCGGCCGAGGTCCGCCGAGCCGAGGGAGGACCGCCTGCTGAGGACGGGCGGACGATCAGCGGATGGACAACGGCGATAATCAGCTAGTGTTGGGCATTGCACAATTTTAGCAGCTAAATTGAAACGTTCATTATTTGAAGCTCAGATCGGTAGACTTTGACTTTCAAATCGGTAGACTTTGATGGCTTAGGCCTTAGATGCATTCGATATCAATAAATCAAAATAAGCATCAACCCATTACCAATTAATAAGTATTAATAAGTACAATAATTACAAATACGACATAAAATGTAGTATAAGCTGAAAATGTATTGAATGAAGAATAAGGCAAAATAATTTATTTTTGTTTACTGGGGTTCATTACTCCAGAAAAAAAAACACATTCTCTTCCCAAGCCATCGATACAAAACCCTTCCTCTCACAGAAGCGTCCACCCACCTGTCCTCCAGACAGAAGTCCCTGTCGTCCTGCTCGTCGTCTGCGTCGTTGGCCCCGAGCGGCGCCCAGCGCTCCCCGAGCGGCGCCCAGCGCTCGGCGGGGGGTCGGCGCTCCCAGTCCTCGTCTCCCGAGGAGACGGCTCCGTGCGGCCAGCCGCCGTCCGCACCGAGCTCCGAGTGCAGCGCCGACAGCTGGTGAGGAGAGGACGAGTAATGAGGGGAGGACGGCCGAGCGTAGGAGGACGGAGAGGACGGGGTGGGCGGCGAGGATAGGCTGAAGGCGGCAGTTGTGGTGGGAGGTGGGGGAATGGCCGGAATGGCACTGGTGTTGACGGAGGAATGAGGGCTGTATGGGTCAGCGGACTGAGCCGTGTCAGCGGCGGTAGAGAGGATCAGAGCAGAGGTAGATGTTGAGGAGGCTGCAGCTGGAGTGGAAGATGAGGCCACAGAGGTAGTAGCAGCAGAAGATGAAAGGGAAATACTGACCAAGTCAGATATAGCTTCAACAGTGCTGGGCTCTTCGCCCGCAGTTCCAGCTATGGTGGAAAGATGAACTGAGCTGACTGGTTGCTGTGTGTCTGTGGATGTTGAGTCCACTGCAGAACAATCAAGGGTGGAATCTTGGCCACTGGACTTGGAGACTGGCCCCATAGCAGACTGCATTGCAGGCATCACCGGCTTGTTATTTACAGTATGGGCGAGCTGCTGCTGATCTCCAGTCACCTGCTGTGTGCTGACCACCTCAGGCTGTATACCAGGCATACAGAATCCTTGTGATGTGGCCATTCCTTGCTGGATGTCCCCGGAGTGCTGTCGTGCCAGGAAGGGGTTGACCCGTGCCCTTGGAGAGCTGCGATTTCCAGCTGGTCTGGAGTCAAGCTGACTGTTGGGTTCACAAGCTGTTTCAGCTGATTCCTGTGAGGAATAAATCATCCAGTTGTGAATTTCACCAAAAGCACAGATTATGGGAAGCATAAGACAGGAAAGTTTGAATCTGTGTTTTGCCTTTACATCACTTTTACTTTTTACATCACTGTAGCCTGAAATAACGCTCTGAGGGTAGCCAAAGGATTTCAAATTTACCATCAGACATGTGCTTGGCTATCATGCTATGTAAATGTCAATTAACTTGGACTACATAAAAACACCCAAAACATTTATAAGGGTTCACAGTCCAGTCACAAAGGCTACAACTTATATGATGGCTTTGTTTACATGAACAAATGCATCCATAGAGCTCCAAGGCTCACCCCTGATGTTGGAACATGGTCCTCCGTCTTGAACGCCCATCCTTCATTGTCGTTGAGCTCGGAATTTGCAGCCATATGCTGGAAAATGGAAATTTACACGCCCTTGTCCCTTCGACCTTCGACAATGACAATGATCGTCACAAGACACGATCGAAAGGTTCCTGTTGCACTTCAGTTCAAAACAATATGGATGCGGGCATCGAGATTGCCCCAATACTGATACGAAGAATAAGTAAAAATGATCAGCCTTCTGAACCTATTCCAATTTAATTTGTATTGATGTAGGAGACCCACCCCACACATGCGCAGACCCACAACTCCCACGCAAACTCCCACGCAAAGTTGCATGCGCCGAAGGCGCCGCAGCTGCGCAGCAAATGTATGGCATTCAAGAACGATAAGAACCCGGTTTACATAGCATTTTTGACGAGGCTCTAGCTTGTTAATTTGGCGATAATTTCGATGCAGTGATCTTCAAATATTTAGAGGGGATCATTTTGTAAATTGTTAAGCACCATTGGCATCTTTTGCAACATCACGGACGGAGAAATAGGCTTGCAACAAACCCTATGTAAACGCGTCTAACATGCAGATAAACATATTTTACACCAAAGCTATGAGTTATCACTAAAAATGTCCTTCGTTCTTTTTATGACAAGTACCTACAATACAATTGTATAGGCCCAGTCAAGTTCGCACAGGTCTACACCTTTTTACGCCCAATTTAGGCGGAAGTGCACACATTTCATTAATAGTGCAGGTGATTTCGATGGTTCGGCATAGTGCCTTCATATATTGAATTGCGGCACGATATTCGTCATTGTGCACCACACTCCGTCATAGTGCAGTTAAAAGTGGCCCAGGTTCAGACATATTGGACTTAGTGCAAATAATAATTCGTCAGGTTAATTCAATTTCGACATACGGCATGTGCTTACGGCAACGTTCAAATAAATCCAGCACGGTATAAATAAGCGATTATGTAAACAAATCTCAACTTCCTACGCAACTTAAGCCCTCAGCAAAGCTCTGGAGCTAATGAAGAATGTGGGATGTCACGTGAACGTGAAATGCGCTACACCTTTTTACGGCCAAATATAGAAATAGTGCACACAGTTCAGTATAATAGTGCAACCGATTTCGACAGTTCGGCATAGTGCACCTCTAGTTCGGCCAAGTGCATGATATTCGGTAATAGTGCACACGTTTCAAATGAAGAGCAATCAATTTAGAAGATGGTGCGTTCAAATTCAATGAGCCGTAGGTTCAATTTCGTCATAGTGCACGGTTTTGTCATGTGGCCTGATAGTCGGCGTCCAGCAAAACGATTTAGGCGATGCTCAAATGAATTCGCTGCTGGATTGGGAAAATATTTTTGAAAGCCCCTATCTGCCTGTCAAGAGTAGCGTGAATCTTGGTCAAAAACCTGCTCAAATGCAGTTTCAGCTCTCAGGAATTAACTTATCATTAGTCTCGCTCTAAGAACTCGGTGACACGGTCGAGTGGCGGTCATGTGGCATTCAGGGCTTCTGAATCGGGTGCATATAACTTCGTTGCTGGTTCAAAAAGATCAGAAATGCTATGGATTCTTGTTATCGCCTTTCAGCATCATGGCGAATTTGATTGAACAAAGCCGAAAAAATATTGCTCATGCCGAATATATAAGCACCCGACGAATTATGTGCACTATGTCTTATATGATTGAAGCTAAGGCACCCAGATGAAACATTAAATACCCTCTACCTTTTGCATCCAGAGCAGTGCAGCTGGCTACTTGAATTTTTTGCGTTGCTGACTGACTACGAGTGTCATTGGAGGCTCAGGTAGCGTGAAATGTCAAATAAAAATTGTTATTACTTATTTATGCAATGCCGTGTTACTGAACAGTGCCTAAATTACATGCGGGACCCCGAAATTGAAACGATCTGACGAATAATGTGCGATATGTCTAATATGCCTGAACCTGGGTCACTTTAAACCTGCATTATGACGAAATGGCTGCAATATGGCGAATATCGTGCCGCGATTCAATATATCAATGCACTATGCCGTGCTGTCGAAATCGCCTGCACTATTTTTGAAATGTGTGCACTGCCGCCTAAATTGGGCCTTTTCATTACATTCATTAAAATCTCGTTAATTTTTATTAGCAGTAAAATTTCAATAATTTAGTAAAATTTCATTAGCAGCTTGTTTGAACGGCACCACGCTACACTTGATGAACAGCAAGAGCGTTGTCAAAAATATTTTCTAGATGGGGCACCGAATTCGCTTGAAGGTTAACTAAATTGCTTTGCGGTACGCCGAATACCAATGTATATGACGAAGCAATGCACTCTGGCGAAACTGAAATCGCAACTACTGAAAATGAATGCATTCTCTTTTAAATTGCTTGCACTGTTTCGGAGCCGTGTGCACTATTACTGAATTTCATGCACTCGGCCTAAGAAGCGGTGCACTATGCCGAACTGTCGAAATGGTTGCACTATTTCTGAACTGTGTGCACTATTTCTATATTTGGCCGTAAAAAGGTGTAGTCAGTCGGTGAGGGACAACGGAAGACTGAAGAGGAAGATGTCATAGGCCGTCGAGACAGCGGAAGTTAGGAGCAGCTCCTAGGGGCTTGACCCGGTCACAGGGCCACGGGCCCTCGTTGGTCGGAGACCAACGCAACCATCTATTGGTCCTATTTTCTTTGCCCGACTTATTAACCCGCGCGGGGCTGGGGGGGGTAAATTTTACCCCCCCCTCGCGAATTTTTGCGATATCTCAAAAACGGCGGCGCGCAGCGCCGCCAAACTTTCAGTACCTTTTCTTACATCAATTTGACACGTTCCCTGAAAATTTGAGCGAAATCCGTCGGAAAATTTTTGAGAAATTGACGTTTTAGTGACGTCATGTTCGTCATTTTCGCCTCAAAAACGGCAAAAGTTCAAACGCTGCTAACATCTTCATTTTTAAAGGAATCAAGACGTAACAAAAAGGTTATACGTAATTTTACTTTGTCTATCAAATGGCTATCTCGGTTTTTGAAAATTTTGGATTTTGGCCTAATTTTTTTCAAAAAACTTACTTTTTTGGGAAAATCATTATAAAATCCAAAATTTTGAGTCTATCGAAAAAACCGGAATATATGTCAGAGAAGTGGTCTATGTGCACCTACATACCAAATTTTAGAAGAATCGGTTCAAAAATGTGGGAGTTATTCAAAATTTTATGACGTCACGACACACAAAATTTTTGAAAAATGACTTTTTTGGAAGTTCTAGACCTCGTACGGAAACAAAAATAGCACCATTCGATTCGCCATGAAAAACTGCATCAGATAGACACCTTTTTAGGCCTTAACAACCAACTTCAAAATTTGACCTCACTTGACGTGACCTTGACCTGACCTCGACCTGAAATTCATCCAGAGGTGGTCCATATCACTTATTGAGTGTGCCTATTGAATTCTATGAGTAAAGTGACCCATAAAACATGTGTCGCACATGCCCTTTTCTATATTTTGTTTTTTGGTGACCTGACCTGACCTGACCTGACCTTGACCTTGACCTCTGAATGATATTGTATGCAACGAATATTGTCTTGGTAGCCTAAGAACACGTTTTGGGCGATCAGTCTCAGTCCATGACTCCATTCTTCGGCAACTACGGTGCAAGGCCGATACTGTAGGAACTTGCAATTTGTACCCTTGACCTGACCTTGACCTTGACCTCAAACTTTAAGTTAAGTACATGTTTTTAGTAGTTCGTGATGAGAGCTTTCGATTGGCGTTTGAATTTTCCAAATCGGACCGTTAGTTCGGGAGATAACAGGGGGGTAAAATTTACCCCCCCCCCCCAGCCCCGCGCGTTCGGCTGGAGACCCCAGCCCCGCGCGGGTTAAGGGGCTGCTTTTCGATCTGATCAGCTGAATAGCTTGCAACTGGAAAACTGTCACGCCATCTTCATTTAATCTTCAGATAGCTTTCTACTTGGCTTTTTGGATTCGTTTGAATCCAGGCTCCAGCTGACCTCGCCGACCGTCCAAGAGAGTAGGTAGAGATGACGCCATCCCCCCCCCTTGACGGTTTTTCGCGATTGTTCGGAACACGCTGGCGATAGAGAGCACTGAAAGCTGACACAAATGACCTTTGATTCAAGCCGGATCTTTTGAGTGACACCGAATACCGATTGTATTTCCAGGTCAGGTCGGGTCACTGACCTATGAGGCTATGACCGATGACGTTATACCTAAGTGAACCATTGCACGCTCAAAAAGATCGCAACTTTGCAACACCCTCAGTGCCAGAGTCGAGCTTTCACAAGGTAATGAAACTTACAGGACTCCTTAGTAACCTATCGAGGTCTCACTGCTTGTGTATCTATATCTCGAATTTTTCCTAAGGGTCACCTGAGGTCAAGTAGGTCACGTGACCTCACGCTCACCCCAACCTTATACCTAGTGCCTAAGTCAAAGGGGAAATATGCACGGAATGTTTTGACACTGGAAATGATCTAAAAATACCTCAAATTAGGGTTCCGTACATGGACTAACGATTTAATGCATTCTTTGCAAGTTCCGACTCGAGGGCTAACTTTTGCATCTTTGACCTTGGGTGACGTCATTTATGACGGCACCTAGGTCATGGGAGTTGTTCGGCTATATCCATCGATAAATTGAGCTCGCGAATCGGGAAAGCCACCATTGGACTTGGCAAGACTGGATAGGTACATGCCAAATCGAATGATAGGTATATACGATTTGACCTCCTTTGACCAGCTCCGTGACCTGAACTTAACGCAAGGTGACCTGACCTTCCGTGACCTACTCACCTGACCTTAACCTTAACGCACCTTGGGTTATAACCAGAACAAAATGCATGTCATTCAACACGCCTGAGCGCGACGAACACAACGATGCCAAAATATCCGGGCTCTGCTGCAATGTTGGCGAAATTATTTACCAAAAACCGAGCTTGCACCTCGAAGCACTTGACCTGACCTCAGAGGTCACCAAATGATATGAGATCTTGAAATCAGATACCAGTCGCTGCGTCTTGTAAAGGCGCACGCACACACTCGTTTTTTTGCGAATCGCGAGGCTCTAGAGACAAGATTGATTAGGGGGCGAAACGGCAAAGGGGTCGTACCCGCCCGCACTTCCCCCCTTTCCTTGGCAAGGGCGCTTGTGGGTACCTACAAATACGAAAAACGAATAGGTTCGGCAATGGTTCACATTCGTAATAACTATACTCCAAGACGAATGACGCCATGAAAATAAAAATTCGATGTTCGTTGTAACTCAGCAATATCAGAATGCATTGTTCCACATACATATCTTTCATTTATATGAAGA